CCCATCCCGCTGCTTCCCACCTTGCATTCCACCGACCTCTACTCGTACCCTCTCACCCCTCCCGCCGCGCAACCACGAATCTTTCGAATCTTTCGATCCACGACGGCTGCTTTCGCGACCGTCGACCCGCATCCTGCTTAACCTCTGCCGCTCTGATTTCCCCCATTCCGACTTGAATCACCATTTCCGAAGGCGAACGAACGAGTCCGTCCGGCGACTTTTGATACACCGGCCCTCCTAGAGCAGTCTCTCTGCGTCTGTCAGGCTCGCCCAACACCAACTTTCTACCATCGCCCGCTTTCCACAAACATCTCCTCCACATTACCCAAAATGGCTGCCCGAGGCCCCGGTGCTCCTGGTGCGCGCGGAATGAACACGCGGTTTGCGCAGTTCAAGCTCGTCTTGCTAGGTATGCAATCTTGCTTGCCGCCCGAGTGGTCTACCACGACAACAGCTAACGTTGACGATGATGCATAGGCGAGTCTGCCGTTGGAAAGGTATTTCGTTGTCCGAAGCTCATAGAAACCCCCCGCCGGTGCTAACCTGTTCTTAGAGTTCCATCGTGTTGCGTTTCGTCAAGGTAAGTTCCCGATGCACTCTTCTTCAATATCCAGCTTCATTGCACCAGTCCATTAACCAAGTGCCACTACAGGATCAGTTCGACTCCTACCGCGAATCGACCATCGGAGCCGCCTTTTTGACGCAGACCATTTCCCTCGACGAGAACACCACAGTCAAGTTCGAGATCTGGGATACGGCTGGACAGGAGCGTTACAAGTCCCTTGCACCCATGTACTACCGCAACGCAAACTGCGCCGTCGTGGTTTACGACATTACTCAATCTGTAGGTTTGGTGATACCCATTATGTGCTTTCCAAAAATGCTGACAGCGGCAAGGCATCTCTGGATAAAGCAAAGGCGTGGGTCAAGGAATTGCAGAGACAAGCCAACGAGAACATCATCATCGCCCTTGCCGGCAACAAGCTGGATTTGGTCACCGAGCAGCCTGATAAGAGAGCGGTGGCCACGGCAGATGCCGAGGCATATGCGCGCGAGGCCGGACTCCTCTTCTTCGAGACATCGGCCAAGACGGCTGAGAACGTCAAGGACCTCTTCACTGCTATCGCCAAGAAGCTGCCGCTTGACCAGGCCGGTCCTAGGCACGCCCGGCCAGGACAGCGACAGGGCGTTAGCCTCCAACCCGAGACTCCTGGCAGCAACGTCGGCGGGCCTTGCAGCTGCTAGGTGAGATACTCACAAACCACATCATATATCAAATGAGCCCGGGGAATCGGGCAAAGAATGGCATCGTGTCCGAGGTGAGGCAGGCTCCCATTGGCAGACTGCATAAGGCCACCCCATCAGCCAGGCATCGCACCAATACAAGCAAGTACACGACGGCGTTATGGCTGGATGGGTTTGGGCTGAAGAGCGTTATCGCAAACCCTACACCGAAGAATGGGTATGCCAGACCCAGCTTTTTAATATCAACAGTACGTTTTTTGAGAGGAAGAGGGAAAGAGATGTGTGTGGGTGTGATTTTACATTTCGTGTCTTCGTTGAGCTGGTCATTCGGTTGCGGCAATTCGGGTGTAGGGACAGTCCTGGGATAAGACGGTGTACGGGAAAGGATTCACTTTTACTGGGGGAAGCATCCTGCAGCATTTTTCTGATGTACAGTATGCGATAGAGGCAACTGTTTCTCAAGGATGGGGCCGTATACAATTTCTTATCGTTTCACTATTGGGATCTGGTGAGTGCACCGCATTTCATGGATGCCGATGATGATTTCCACAGTTTGAATGCAGCCATTAAGGACATGAGATTGGTTGACATGGTTTTATTAATTTTCGTTGTTGAGTTTGACAAATTATTTAGACTGTCGCAAAGGAATCACTTGGACGTCTTAGAATCGTCTAATCCCTCTTGGACCACGGCATTACCTCAATTAAGATGGAAAATCCATCATCAATTCCCACCCAAGCCGCGTGTCAAAATGTGACAGCTGTTGCCGCCGAGTGACGTGAGCTCGCTGGACATCCCGGTTCCTGCCGCTCGGCGGTCGCAGCGGACCAGCGCGGCTGGAACCACCAGAGCTCGCCCATTTTAGCCGAACTTTTCCCTGAGCTTTTTTGTGCCTGGATTCCCGTCACCTACGGATACCTCCCATTACAACTACCTCGACATCATTCCCCCAACTACGCCGCGTCGGCCCATTGCATCCCCTCATGTTGCGAACGTCGATTCGATCCGTGAGGGTGCTCGGCCACAGGCCTGCGGCGGCCGTCGTTGGCCGCCAATGGCAGGTCGCTGCCGCCCGCCGGAGGCATTTCGCCGACGACAAGAAGCCTGTTGACCCGTCCAAACCAGCCGTCTTGCCAGCATCAGAGACCATCACTGCAGAGAAGAGCGCCGTCCCCGAGATTCAAGCTGTCGAGCCGGCCATCCCCAAGGAAGACGTCCCTCTCACTCCCCCGACTCCGGATACGGTCGTTCCCACCCCAGAGGCCGCCGCTCCTCCGCCGCAATCGCCCGCAGCAGCCGCGCCCAAGAAGAAGGGTTTCTTCCGCCGATTGAGGAACCTCGTCTTGACCCTCGCCATCCTCGGCGCCGTCGGCTTCGGAGGCGGTGTCTGGTACTCGCGCATCAACGACAATTTCCACGACTTCTTTACCGAATATGTTCCCTTTGGCGAGCAGGCCGTCCTCTACTTTGAGGAAGCTGACTTCCGCAAGCGATTCCCCAACCTCTCGAGCAAGATCAAGGGAAGAGATACCGGCAGCCAGGTCAAGATTCCCGCCCAGAGCGGCGCGTCATGGAGAGTAGCCGATAACGGCGAGCCCGCTGGTCGTCAGTCTAGCGCCGTCGACAAGGCCGCTGCCAAGGTTGTCGCTATCAAGGGGGAGCAGAGCAAGCCAGCCGACAAGTCCAAGGCGGCGCCAGAGGCCCCCAAACCCGCGCCCGAACCCGTCAAGGAGACCAAGCCTGCTGCTGCTGCTGCGCCCAAGGAGGACCTCACCGGATTCAAGGCCCCCGAGGTCAACGAGCCTTCGCGATTCCCTCCCATCGCCCCGATCGACGCCCTGAAGATTGAGGATGCTACCGAGCCTGTTATTCAGGATCTTGTCCGCATGCTCAACGACATCATCACCGTCATCAACGCCGACAAGGCCCACGGCCGCTACTCTCCTACCATCGCCAAGGCTAAAAGCGAGTTGAGCAAGGTTGGAAGCAAGATCAAGGCCATCAAGTCTTCGGTCGAGCAGAAAGCCGCTTCCGAGGTCGAGGCCAAGGTCGCCGACTTTGACAAGGCCGCCAACGACCTGATTGCCCGCGTCGAGTCCGCCATGGTTGCCCAGGAGACCCAGTGGAGAAACGAATTCGAGGACGAGATGAAGAAGGTCAAGGAAAGCTACGACGAGCGCGTCAAGCTCCTGTTGGAGCGCGAGAAGCAGCTCAACGAGGAGCGTCTCAACAACCAGCTGCTGGAGCAGGCGCTTGCGCTGAAGAAGGAGTTCGTCGCCGAGGTCCAGGGACACGTCGAGGCTGAGCGCGAGGGCCGCCTCGGCAAGCTGAACAAGCTGTCGGCCGCCGTCCAGGACCTCGAGAAGCTGACGACGGGCTGGAACGAGGTCGTCGACACCAACCTCCGCACCCAGCAGCTCCATGTCGCCGTGGACGCCGTCCGCGCCAGTCTCGAGAACGCCACGCACCCCAAGCCCTTCACCCGCGAGCTCGTGGCCCTCAAGGAGATCGCCGCCGAGGACCCCGTCGTCAATGCCGCCATCGCGTCCATCAACCCGTCCGCCTACCAGCGCGGTCTTTCTAACGCCGCACAACTCATTGACCGGTTTAGGATAGTCGCCAACGAGGTGCGCAAAGCGTCTCTCCTCCCCGAGGAGGCCGGCGTTGCCAGTCACGCCTCGAGCTACCTCCTCAGCAAGGTCATGTTCAAGAAGCAGGGTCTGGTCGGTGGCGACGATGTCGAGAGCATCCTCACCCGCACGCAGACGTTGTTGGAGGAGGGTAACCTGGACGCCGCGGCGCGTGAAATGAATGGTCTCCAGGGCTGGGCGAAGACGCTAAGCAGAGACTGGCTCGGTGAGGTGCGGAAGGTTCTTGAGGTCCAGCAGGCTCTTGATGTGAGTATTCCCCTTTATCACGCTATAATTCGAATAGGGCAGCTAACAAAACTTTTTTTTAAGGTCATTGCGACAGAAGCACGCCTCCAGAGTCTCAAGGTAGAATAATGGACAGGACATGTTTTTCTTTTGTTCTAGGATGAGATGCTCCCTTAGGGGGGCATTTAGAAAGAGAGAGAGAGCGCCTAGACCTCTGGTCTGTGTAAGACATAGCCATAGACTTGAATGAAGGCAGTGTATTTTATCAAGCCCGTCGACTTGTACATGTGGTGTTCCAAACATCCTATATCGTAGACATGGAATGCAGTCCTCGGTCTATTTGCTCCATACGGCTTGGCCAGCACCTAATCTAAAAAAAGCCTGCCTGTTGTAGAAAAAAGAAGGGGTATATCCGTACTCTCGAATTGAGTTTTGAATGTTCGTCGCATTATCACAGGCCGGTGCCACGAGGGCCCCATTCGTATCCGTACGGTACTACCTTAGGTGCGAACCAGGAAACGGGACGAGCGCCGAGCCCAGGCCCCCCCGGATGTCCAGTGCCTCCCGGCTCGAGTCCCGAAGACCAGGGGCACCCGCATCCTCACCCGCATATAACCAACCTGAACCCCCACCGAACCCGGCAGCGACGCAACAGCTCCTACCCCGACAATTCTATTTTTTTTTTTTTTTTTGCCAGTCAACCAAATTCAAGGGAGAGTGAGAAGCTCTGGTGACCCCTCCATTTCAGGCCCCGCTGCGTAATCCCAAAGTGCCTCCAAAAAAAGAGGGAACGACCCGACGTCCTTGATGCATCATGCATCCCGCCACGTAGTACGCCTCAAGAGTACTCTACTTTCGCGCTTCTTGGTACGACGCACGATGGCTACTGCCGGACGGACATATAATGTAAGTTCTCAAATCTCACCACCCTGCCCGCCTTCACACTGCTGTATATCTGTGGGCTTCTCCGAGGTCGGAGGTCGAAGTTGTGGAAGTTCGTCTATGCAGCTTTATGCTTGGGGCATATAGCGATTGGAGGTGGGATGGGCGATTGCGCAACGGGAAATGGGGTCTCAAAGGGGAAAACTAGGATTTGCTAACGAGAGGACCATTTGCGCGCGCGCACGTAGGATGCCGTTGACGCCTTGAACACCCTGCAGACGCCGTTCGCCGTCATCGAGGCGAGGCGCAAGGCGGGCGTTCGACCGGATAAGGCTTCTGTCAAGGAGATGAGGGCGTACCTCGCGCGCGTCGGGTATTCGGTGCGTTTGATCCCCTGCCTCCAGTGGCATAGAGACTTCTTTATGGACTCTATTCTTGTTCTGGCAAACGTTCAGGACTTCTATGCTGACAAGGCGCCTCACGACACAAACAGATCTCCGACCTCGACAGCCTCAACGTAATCCACGTCGCCGGCACAAAGGGCAAAGGCAGCACCTGCGCCTTCACCGACTCCATCCTCGCCCGGCACCGCGCCGCCTCGCCGTCCTCGATCCCCCGGAAAGTCGGCCTGCTCACCTCGCCGCACCTGATTGCCGTGCGGGAGCGGATACGGATCAACGGGGCGCCCATCTCCGAAGACGTTTTTGCGCGGTACTTTTTCGAGGTGTGGGACCGGCTCGGAGAACACAATACGGTGCAGGAGGAGGCCGTGGCGGTGGGCACGCGGCCGATTTACTCGCGGTACCTGACGCTGGTGAGCTTCCACGTCTTTTTGCAGGAGGGGTGTGACGTGGCGATTTTGGAGACGGGGATCGGGGGCGAGTATGATGCCACGAACCTCGTCGGACGACCTGTCGCGACGGGGATTACGACGCTGGGGATCGATCACGTTTTTGCGCTGGGGGATACGGTCGAGAAGATTGCGTGGCATAAGGCGGGGATTATGAAGGAGGGGAGCAGGGCGTTCACGGTCGAGCAGGTTGCTGGCGCGGCGGCCGTGTTGGAGGCGAGGGCCAGGGAGAAGGGGGTGGAGATGGAGGTTGTGGGCGTCGATGAGCGACTTGGGCCGGTAAAGATCCGGCCTGACGCGGTGTTCCAGAAGAGGAACGCGAGTTTGGCGGTGCGGCTTGCGGAGACGGCGCTGGAGAGGCTTGATCCGGGGTTCGTGAGGGACCGGGAGAGGTTGCCGGCGCCGTTTGTGGAGGGGTTGGAGGGGGTCGTTTGGAGGGGCCGGTGCGAGGTCAAGGACGAGGGGAGGATCGTGTGGTTTGTGGACGGGGCGCATACGACGGACAGCTTGAGGATGGCGGCGCGGTGGTTTGTCGACGAGGCGAAGGGGAAGAAGGGACCGCGGGCGTTGGTGTTTAATCAGCAGGGCCGGACGGAGGCTATTGATTTCCTGGACGGGATGTATGAGGCGATGAAGAGGGAGGACGGGAGGGCGTTTGAGACTGTTGTGTTTTGTACGAATGTCACGTATGCCCAGACGGGGTATAAGCGAGGTAAGATTCCCCTTCCGCCCTTCACGGAGGATAATCTGGAGAAGAGGAGAGACAAGGCTGACTTGAGACTGGATCACGGTTTAGATTTCGTCAACCACCAGTACGACGCCAAGGCCATTGAGGCCATGACGGTGCAGAGGCAGTTTGCGGAGCGCTGGTCGAAGCTGGATCCCCACGCGGACGTGCGCGTCATACCGACGATTGAGGAGGCGTTGAATCATGTCCGGGGCGTCAGCGAGGGGGTTGCAGAGGGCGAGAGCGTGCAGGCTCTTGTTACGGGGAGCTTGCATCTTGTTGGTGGCGCCCTGGGGATTCTAGAAGGCGCGGATGCTTTGTAGACTGGGCCTCTTGTTCTATTTGTTTATTTCCCCTTGAGCTTTGGAGATATGGGAGCGATGGTATAGAATGGGTTTAACATGGGTTTACAGTATTGGGGTTTAACAGACATACCAAGGGGGTTGGACACCCCTGTTCTCGCGGATTCAACTCTGGACATTTTTCTATTGGGTTCAAAGTGGTATTTATAATAGACCTTCCGGCTCCAACAGGCCGATGACGTTCCCGACAAGGTACATGCTCCCCGTCACGAGGATCTTTGTCCGAGAAGGCTGTTGTGCGATGGCGTCGACGGCGCCCTTCATCTCGGTCAGGTTGCTGCATACCACGACTTTTGTAGCAGGGCACATCGCCTTGAACGCCTCTGCGCACTTTTCCTGTACAACCAGATCCAGATCCTCTCCCTTGGCTGCGATATTGGTCTTATCGTTCCTAGTGAAGATGGCGGCTATCAGCTTCGACTCGAGGTCGACGCCCAAACCCTCCATCTGCCGAAGGAACTCCACGAGGAGCGCTGAAGCGTCCCGCTCCTGCTGGTTGAAGACGAGCACGAATTTTGCATCCGGGCTGCTTTCGGCGGCGGCGACGACGATGGGAGATATCCAGCGCGCCACCTCCGCCAGGCTATCTGCGTTGTGCGCGCCGTCGAGGTACCACGACACGGCGCCCTGCTCAATGACCTCGTGCCGGCCTCGGAGGGTGGCTTCGCGCAGCCCGGCAATGATTGTCTCGGGAAGGTCGGCGAGCGAGCGGTTCACCTCTGGCGTCTTTGCCCTCGTCGAGTCCCACCGACGACTCTCGAGGACCTGGAGGTGACGCCGCGCAGCGAGGGCCGCGAGCGCCTGGTTCCTCTTTTGGAAGTCTCCTCCCGGTAACTTGGCCCCCGGGCCCACGCCGGACCACGCGAGGACGTCGTCGTCGGGTACCTCGATCAGGTCCGCGCCAATATCCGCGGCGCGAGCGCGGAGGATCTCCATCACGCCCGGGTGCCGCGCCCGTTGCTCGGCGGTGTCGTCCAGCTTCCTCGTCCAGGTCGCGACGCCGGGTTTCATGACGCCGGCTTTGTGCCAGGCGATCTGGGCGGCCGTGGCGCCCAGCATGGCGACGTGGTCGATGCCGAGCTGGGTGATGACGGAGGCCGTGACGGCGGCGGGCGGGATGGCGTTTGTGGCGTCGTATTCGCCGCCGATGCCGCATTCGATGACGGCGGTGCGGACGCCTTGTCGGAGAAAGATGTGCAGGGCGAGGAGGGTCAGGAAGCGAAAGTAAAAGGGCTTCGCGCCGGCTTCGATGCCGAGATCTGCGCCTGCGGCGTCGGCTGGGGCGGCGGATAAGAGGTCCCAGAGCTCGAAGAAGGAGGCGGCGAAGAGGGGTTGGGATACGGGCTCGCCGTCGATGGCGATGCGCTCGCGCGGGGAGACGAGGTGGGGGGAGGTGTAGGTGCCTACGCGGCCGGCTGTCGCGGACGACGGGGAAGCGGCAGCGGTAGCAGTAGCTGCATGGTGGTGGTGGATGAGGGCCGAGGTGGTTAGGGCCGTGACGGAGCCTTTGCCTTTTGTGCCGGCGATGTGGATGTAGGAGAGGGCGGAGAGGCGTTGCGGGGTTAGGTTTGCGCGGAGGAGCCAGGCGGACATTTCGGGAATGGCGAGGAGGTTTGGGTCCGAAGGGGCCGGAGGGGGGGCCGGGGTCGGGTTCGGGCCTGGGTTGACGGTGGTTGTGGTGGTGGCGGTGGTGGTGGCATCTTTGGGTTTGTTGAAGAGAGCGTGGACTTTGAGGTTTGGGATGAGGGTGTTTAGGAGGTTGAGGGCGTCGGTGTAAGTCCGTGATGATGGGGGTGAGGGTGAAGGAGAGGAAGACATGGTGTTGATGAGTCGCGACGAGGAGGGCGGGTGAGGGACGGCGTGATTGATGAAGCGCGATGAGGCTGAGGCCGGTCGAAGGGAGAGTCTCATGAGGGTGGAATTGTTTGAGAGAGAGGGGGGAAAGGGAAAGTGTTCAATATCACGACGTTGAAAGAAGCATTGTGGTGATTGTGGAGGGTGTTGAGGCTGAAATTAGGTTGGCTTGTGAGTGGTGAAGCTTTTTGAGGTGAGTTCCACTGGAGATGAGGTTGTCAAGGGAGGCGACGCAACTCCGCTCTAATTATTATTACAACTTTACATCTTGTTCTACTTATTATCCAAAAGCTATGATACTTGCTGAGATTTGCATGTCATCTTTCGCGATTCAAGCATAGCGATCATCAATTGATTCGAAGTTCATCTTGGTTCTAGGAAACAGGGCGTAACATTCTAGACGCCAGGGTTTTATATTAGTTAGGATGTTTTTTTAAACCAGGCTGGTAGGTTTTTAGATTGATGCCAGGAACTATCGGTTCTACTGTTTGGTAATAAATCATATGGCACATTTGCCATCCATGAGTAGGCAGTCAGAGAGACAATCCACGATGCAGCCAAGTCACGGACAAAAGCCAGCAGCCACAAAGCCCATGACTCACACAGGAAAACGAACCCGATCGCAGACGCCCGATGATGATGATGACAAGCATTCCGTCAACCCAGGATAAGCCTTTTATTATGGGGTAGCAGCCGAGGTGGAGAACGAGACCCCGACATGGAAGATCCCTTCATCCCGTCGCAAAGCGTCAGCGATGGAAAGAAGGCCCTCTGCGATCTGGGCGCCCTCGTCTCTCCATGCAGGTTAAGTCGCAGGGTCGCAGACATCGCCAACATGACTGTTGCGGAAGAGTCAAGGATATGACTGGATCACAGCCAACCAACATTTTCTCTCTCTTGAAGACTGATTACCAAGCCTTCAATCTCCCAACCGTCGCTCTCGCGGATAACGGCACGGCCAAGGTGGGACAGATGAATGAGCAGCTCAGCCGTCTTTAGCCTTTCCAGGCTTGGCTCCATGTTCGTCGTCGGCTGGTGGGATAATAGGAACGAACACCAACTCATTTTGGGGAACTTACAATGATGCCAACATACCAATCGGGCAGAGTCATCGGAGCCAGGACGAACTGCTCCGGTCAGCACTTGACAGATGCCTCGGGTGAAAAGATTGGGGGAGACAACAATTGTGAACCCCAACACTCACGTACCTACTCACTCTCAGTCTCATTCTTAGTCTCAGTCTCACTCTCACCGGCTCGCGCGCCGGGCTTGTCCTGCCAAAGTCCGATGTCGCATTTACCCCAGTAGCGACTAGCGAGCAAACGCAACCAAATTTGCCGATTCGGCAACGCGGCAAACGGCCCAAACTCGACCTCTTGTCGCTCTCGCGTCTTCCACCCTACACTATTACATACCTTAGTTACCCCAGCTCAACCATGGTCGTCTTGATGCTAGGATCCCACACCCTTTCCTTTTAGCTCATTCGAGACCAGTCCCTTTATGTCCACTTTTTACCCGATTCTCGCCATGGGACCAGGGTCAGGTTGGAGCGCATGTGGAGGTGCTTGTCATCGACTTTGTAATAGAAATCTCTTACGCCTTTCGCTCGTCTTTTTTTCGTCGCATTTTTTGCCCTTGAATATTCTTTCATGACAGCTTTGACGGCCTGACTTGACTACTTCAATGGAGGTCTTCTCCTAGCTCATCTTGATCACTTACTGGATAGTATTCAAGCTTCAGTACCGTTGTATCCATCGTTACCACGCCGCGTCATTCCTTGAGCGAAGCTTGCGATCTCGTTCCAATACGTTGAATGTTCCAAAGTCTAATAGAACACTTGGACCTCATCCCTTCTTCCCATGAATCATAGGTCCCTCACTCGGCATATCTCGAGAAAAGAGTGAGATCTGGAGACAACGATTACAAAAAGCATACACCATCCAGCATCCAGCATCCATTTCCCATCAGCTAGAGAAGCTACAAGAGCCAAGCACAGATGACAGCAAAGGGACCCTACGAGGTCCACGACGACGAGAAACTCGGCGATATCGAGCGCGCCGCCGGCTCCCCGACCGAAAATGGGTCGCCCACGACCAGCAGCAGCGAGTCGGTGACGACGACCAGAGACGGCAAGACTGAAGAACCCTCTTACAACGCTACTACAACAGCGACGGACGAGGTAACCGCCGACGGCGACGCAAAGGAGGCGCCCGAAACGCAGGCAGCGGCGGCGGCGGCGGCGGCGGCGCAGGGACCACCACCGGCCGGCGCCGAGGACACGCCCGAGGCCGGTCGCACGAAGCTGGAGACGACGCTCATTGTGCTCTCGCTGTGCGCGGCGCTGTTCCTGGCGGCGCTGGATGTCACGATTATTACAACTGCTGTGCCGACCATTGCGGAGGAATTTAACAGCAATATTGGGTACATTTGGATCGGGTCGGCGTACCTTCTCAGCAACGCGGCGTTTGTCCCGACCTGGGGCAAGTTTTCTGATATTTGGGGCCGGAAGCCCATTCTCCTCTGCGCCGTCGGTGTCTTCTGGATCGGGTCGTTGATCTGCGGGCTGTCCACGAGCATGGGCATGTTGATTGGCGCCCGCGCGATCCAGGGCATCGGCGGCGGCGGCATCATCGTCCTGGTCAACATCTGCGTCAGCGACCTCTTTTCGATGCGCCAGCGCGGCGTCTACTTTGGCGTCATGGGCATGGTCTGGGCCGTCTCGAGCGCCATCGGCCCCGTGCTGGGCGGCGTCTTCACCAGCAAGGCTACCTGGCGGTGGTGCTTCTACGTCAACCTGCCCATCTCGGGCATAGGCTTCCTCGTGCTCTTCTTCGTGCTCAAGCTGCACAACCCGCGGACGCCCGTCGCGCAGGGCTTGAAAGCCATTGACTGGGTCGGCACGCTCACCATCATCGGCGGCACCCTCATGTTTCTCTTTGGCCTCGAATTTGGCGGCGTGTCGTACCCCTGGAGCTCGCCCACCGTCATTTGTCTCATCGTGTTTGGCATCGTCACCATTGGCGTCTTCGCCGTCAACGAGTGGAAGTACGCGCGGTACCCCGTCATCCCGATGCACCTCTTCCGTAGCTGGTCCAACATGGCGGCCTTTGCCACGGCCTTTTGCCACGCCTTTGCCTTTATCTCGGGGAGCTACTGGCTGCCGCTCTACTTCCAGGGCGTGCAAGGGGTCTCTTCGCTCCTTTCGGGCGTCTACCTGCTCCCCTACGTCCTCTCGCTGTCCCTCATGTCCGCCGTCGCGGGCGTGCTGATCCGCAAGACAGGCAACTACGTATACCTCATCATTGGCGGCATGCTCGTTGCCACGGTCGGCTTCGGCCTCTTCCACGACCTGCCCCTGGACCGCAACTTTACAAAGATTATTCTCTTCCAGATCGTGGCGGGGCTCGGCATCGGCCCCAACTTCCAGAGCCCGCTGATTGCGGTGCAGACGTCGGTGGAGCCGCGCGACATCGCGGCCGCGACGTCGGCGTTTGGCTTCATACGGCAGATGGGCACGTCCGTCTCCGTCGTCATTGGCGGCGTGGTTTTCAACAACGAGATGCAGAGGCAGTACCCACGGCTGAGGGAGCAGCTGGGCCCGGAGCTGGCGGGGATGCTCTCAGGCTCGAGCGCCGCGTCCAGCGTGGGCGTGGTGGCGGACTTGCAGGGCGAGCAAGGGTTGATTGCGCGCGGGGCCTACCTGAGTAGTCTGCGGACCATGTACATTGTCTACGTCGCGTTTGCCGGGCTGGGGCTCGTCGCGAGCTTGTTTGTTAGGCAGAAGCAGTTGAGCAAGAATCACACGGAGCATAAGACGGGGTTGAAGACGCTTCGGAGCCGGACTGGGAAGTGAGCTCACCTCGGCGGTGAAGCCCCCAGAAGGAAGAAAGGGAGAAGGGTTAGTACCTAGATGACGAAGTAGGATTTGCTGGATGTTCATCAGCATGGCGTTTGGGTATGAGCATCTTGTTCGGCTCGCAGCGAGCATCGATTGGATACCAAAAACGGGATGCATTCTTTTTTCTCCATCTCCTTTGCTGATCGTCCACGACCCACTCATTACTCGACCCCCTTTCTGTGAACTTGTGAATTCCGGCTGTGAGTTTGTAGAGAGGCTCAACCGCCGGCGCATTCAGGCTAAACAGCCCCATGTTACCATCATATGGGCATTTCCAGATGATTGTGGAGTCTCCCAAGACAAGATTATCAGACGAGGCCGTCCAGAACCTCTTCCGCTGCCCCGGGATGTGGGGAACGTTACAGCGATGGCTCAACGAGGCAGCGGAGGCTAGCGAGAGCAGGCGTACGTGGCGCAATAGATGGGAATGAAATGGAAAGTGGCAGCCCTTACTGCCCAATTTACATAGATTTCCGGTATGATTGGGATGCTCAATCGAGGTGAGTTTTGCCCACCCAAGCGAGGAAGCTTGAGAATAATTCGAGAGAATGATACGAGTCAACGGCTAGCAAAAGTTGGGCACCTGGTAACAGAGGATAGATGACAAAGGGGAGCTTCATTGGCGGAATCGCAGGGGCCCACTCATGTAGCATCAATACTTCCGATTCAGGGTCCGGAGACGAATAGCTTCGGTCCGTAGCTCTTTGGTATTATGACCCGATAAGCCAGGTCAGCTTGGTTGCGATCCGGTTCAGAAACGAATCTCCAAGACTTTTGATCTGTGTTCAATATCAATCGTTCGTTGTACAAGGAACGCCTCTAATAAGGAGACAGCAGCTAACGACCCTCGCGTAACATCGGGGCGAGAGTCACGGGACTGATGTTGAAGTTTTTTGAAGTTTTCAGCTCAACACTAGCGACCTCCAGACTTTGGCGCTTTGAAGTGATTTGAAGGAGTTCCGAGATCCCCAGATGGAGGAGACGCAACCACCAGCCCGAGTCCCTCGGAATCATTGCGTCCGCCGCCTCATTTGCAGAGCTCAGCATGGGGAGCGCCTATATAATACTCATCCACGGCCTGGCCAAGACTGTGGACAGCAGCTAATCTTCAACGAGTCTTGGCCTCTCTATCCACTCAGTCCTGATAAAGTACAAACTTCGCAATGCGACCCTTTACACTCCTCGCCGCTGCGCTCGGCGGCCTCAGCTCCCTCGCGAGCGCCGCCTCGCTGCAGCAGGTAACCTCCTTCGGCGCCAACCCCTCGGGCGCCAAGATGTACATTTACGTCCCGGACCGGCTCGCCGCGAACCCGCCCATCATCGTGGCCATCCACTACTGCTCCGGCACCGCGAGCGCGTACTACTCCAACACGCCCTACAAGGGATACGCTGACACCTACGGGCTGATTGTAATCTACCCGGAGTCGCCCTACTCGGGCACGTGCTGGGACGTCAGCTCGCCGGCGTCGCTGACGCACAACGGCGGCGGGAACAGCAACGCGATTGCGAACATGGTGACGTACACGCTGGACAAGTATAGTGGTGACAAGAGCAAGGTATTCGTGACGGGCACTTCGTCGGGGGCGATGATGACGGTAAGTCAACGACGTCCATCCGCAGATAGCTCGTAGAATGTTGGGCAGAGTGGGACTTTCCAATCGTGGACGCATCAAAAACCCAACCGCTGACCGATAACCCCCCAAAAGAACGTCATGGCGGCAACCTACCCCGAGCTCTTCGCCGCCGGCATCGCCTACTCGGGCGTCCCCGCGGGCTGCTTCTACACCGGCACCGTGAACGGCTGGAACTCGACCTGCAGCCAGGGCCAGTCTATTGCGACGCAGCAGGCCTGGGCCCAGACGGCGCTCAACATGTACCCGGGGTACAGCGGCGCGCGGCCCCGGATGCAAATCTACCACGGCAGCGCGGACACGACGCTGTATCCGCAGAACTGGAACGAGACGATCAAACAGTGGACGGGCGTGTTCGGGTACAGCCTCACGCCGCAGCAGACGCTGCCGGGCACGCCGAGCGGGCAGTACACCAAGTATATTTACGGGCCGAACTTGGAGGGGATTTACGGCACGGGCGTCGGGCACAGTGTGCCGGTGATGGGGGCTGAGGATCTCAAGTGGTTTGGTATTACGGTGAGTCCAATCTTTTTCAATTGTTCCCGTTGTTTTTGTGCTTGCGGGGTTTTCCGCGGACCCAGCGGACGGAAGAGAGGGAGAGAAGGGGGGGTGAGGGGAGAAATGTGTGATATCCCGAGCTGACCTGTTGCTCGTAGGGCGGATCCACGCCTCCGGGAACGACGACGCAGACCTCGGCGGCACCACCGGCGACGTCGACGGCGAGCCCGCCGCCGACCGGAGGATGTACGGTGGCTCGGTGGGGCCAGTGCGGCGGGAGCGGGTGGAGCGGGTGCACCGCCTGTGCGAGCCCGTACACTTGCCAGGCCGCGAACCAGTGGTACTCTCAATGCCTTTGAGGAATTTGCGAGATTGGAGTTTTTGTGGAAACCAGGTAGAGGGACAATGGTTCCGAGTTGAGGAGTGTGGTGTAAGGTAAGAAAAGTTGAGGGAACGGCGCCGATGTGGGTCGCCGGTCGCCCGGGATCTTGGTCTGAGGTGTGTCCCTCCGGTCGACCGAGCTTCTCGAGCCGAAAGGTTACCGGAAAAAGTTATCCTACCCTTCACAGATACATCATACGGTTGCTTTAAAAACCCTATTTTGATTTTTTTTTTGGTTGGCCAGAATCAGCTGTTTTCAATGACTCTCATCCCTGCACAGTGAAGACTTCGTTCGGTCGTGTTCCCACTTCGGCAACGGTTTGTGAGGTGGCTACCCTGGTTAAGGCCGAGAAAACGGTCTTAACGACACACGCAACCAGCGTATTGCTTGTTCTAGCCCCGACCGCGAGACTGGTAGCTAACTCAATCTCATGCAATGTTACCGCGAGTTTTTTTTTTCCCAACAAGTCTTTGATAGTTGGAAGTCTCCGAGTGATCGCGGCAGGATTACCGCCGCAGGGTATTGCGTGATAGCGGAGAGACATCGCGCACTGGTTGCTTGGCGGGAACCTGGTCACGTCACGCATACGCTCCCACAATGAGACGACGGTGAATACAATCCATCACATCCTTCAATAACGACATCGTGAGGCCCCACAGCTCGTGTTGGTTCGATGCAAACCCTATAAGGATGAATATCGCAGATGCTGCCGATGACTTGTGTTCAGTAGCTTCCTCTATACAAGCGTGAAAAGAAAACGTTGGCGGGCCTCTCATATATCTATATTTCAGAAAACGCGTCCTGATTGCAGTCGCTTTTCAACGAGATTCTTCGACCATGGCTGACGAAAAGGGGGTCGAACCGAAAGTGACGAGCTCGTCCAAGGGCAAGACCGTCTCGGAGAAGAACGCCGACGTGACGCTTCGGCTCCTCGAGCAACATGGCGACGAGTTTGGTCCCTTGACGCCCGAGCTAGAGAAGAAGATCCGGAGAAAGTTATATCTTCGTGTCATGACTCTCTTGTCTGCCATCAACATCATGCTTTTTGTATGTATTCGGCGCCAAACCCTGGCTATTAGCTTATTTGCTAACCAATGGCTTCTCTTTCAAGGTTGATAAGTCGACACTTGGTTACGCTGCTATTCTGGGTCTGTTTGAGGAGACGGGAATCAGACAGGCTCAATACAACAACCTTAACACGATGTTCTATGTCGGTAAGGAACTCACTCTCAGGGACAGCTGTAAATGCCTACCAGTAATACTCAGTAATACTCACGTTGTATTCATCTAGGATACCTAGCATTTCAGTGGCCAGGCCACTACCTGATGCAGAAGCTCCCCTTTGGGAAATACGTGGCGGTCACCATCTTCGTGTGGTCTGCCATCATCTTCCTGCACTGCGTCGCGACCCGCTACGCCGGCCTCGTGGTGATGCGCCTCGCCCTCGGGGCCGCCGAGGCCGTCATCGTACCGGCCATGGAGATCACCATTGGCATGTTCTTCAACCGCCACGAGCAGTCCTACCTCCAGCCCGTCCTATGGATCACCTGCCAGGCCGCGCCCGTCGTGACGGGATTCCTCTCGTACGGCCTCCTCTACACCACGGGGCCCGTCCTCCCCTGGAAGCTCCTCCACATCGTCACGGGGGGGCTGACGCTCCTGCTCGCCGTGTGGGTGTGGTTCGACTACCCGAGCAACCCGGCCGAGGCGCGGTTCCTCACGCTCGAGGAAAAGGTGCAGGTGATTCGCCGCGTGCACGCCGCGCAGCAGAGCTCCATCGAGCAGAAGCAGTTCAAGCGGGAGCAGGTCGTCGAGACGCTGCGGGACCCCGTGTCGTGGCTGTTTGCGCTGCAGTCCTTTACGCTCATGTACTCCAACAACCTCAACTACGGGCAAAAGAACCTCATCACGACGTCGATCGGGATCAAGCCGCTGGGGTCGACGCTCGTGGCGGCGGCGGGCGGCGGGTTCGGGATGCTCTGCTGCGTCGTCGCGACGCTGGCGCTGCGGCGGTGGCCGAGCAACCTGGCGCTGCACGGGACGGTGTGGTGCGCGCCGGCGGTGGCGGGCGGGGTGGCCATGATCACGATCGACTGGGAGCGCAAGATTGGGCTGCTGGCGTGCCTGATCCTCGCGGCGGCGACGTACGGCGTCACGTACATTATCGCGCTGGGGTGGACGACGTCGACGGCGGCCGGGTACACCAAGAGGCTGACCCGCAATGTCATGTTCATGCTGGGGTACAGCGTGGGGAACCTCGTATCGCCGCAGATCTGGGTGCCGGCCAACGCGCCGAGGTTCTACGGTGCGTGGGCGTCCATGATCTCGGTCAGCTGGGTGGGCACGCCTGTTATCCTGTGGATTATCCGCTTCATACTCGTGAGGAGGAACAAGGAGAGGCTGGAGTATATTGCTGGCCTGAGCGATGATGAGCGGGAGGGGTGGGTTGAACAGGTTGATGAGAGTGGCGAGACCGTCAGAGTCAAGGTCGATATTGCTGTTCTGGATTTGACGGACTTGCAGAACAAGCAGTTCATATACCCTATTTGATCGGGGGGCTGTAGCCGTCCTGAAAGTTCTGGATAAAACGGATGGAACTTAGAGAGAGAGAGTCACGAAGATAGGTCAGAGGCAGTCTACAACCTCACCTCGGTGGTCTTGAGGGGTGAAATGGCCCTCCTGCATGTAAGAGTCCAATCCATTTTTACCAACCAACATCGAAGCGACCAATGCGTAGTGTTGACCATGCAAAGAATCCTTGCAAATTCCATATGACTTGCCACGAATCATTTAAAAATCATCATGACATGACGAATTGAATAAGTAAGCACATACGCATTCTATTCAACACAAATCTGGTTGCATTACTCTGTACGGCCAAGGAAGTTGAGAAAACTACCATGGTCTCCAGCAGCAACTTGAGTTCATGTCTTGATCTTTCAGGCGACACGTAAGGTAGGCCACACCTTCCAGAAGTCTGATGTTTTGCATGGCACTTGTCTTTGATTACTCACAGTAGACACGCTGTAAAGATCTGCCATCAAGTTTAGAAGAAGTAGCAGGATTAAGTTATACATAAAGGGCACGGTGACGGCTCGAAGTGCGTTTAAAGCATTCTACGTCAGGAAGCTGTTGTCACGGCAAAAAGCGACCAGTTAATGTGGGCAGCATTAACCACACCTATGTCTCGTGACAGCTGTGGACCGAAGAGGTCATCTCATATGAGAAAATGGCGAAGCCGAGGAAGATTCTTTCAGTATCTAGACAGCTCAAATGTAAGATCACCAGGTGACATCAATGTGGATATGGGAAAACAAAAATCAAAAGTCCAGATTCTCACAAGGGGTGACATCAGTCACCAAGCTCGCAGAATATCCCATGGCGTTGGATAATGCGTGGTGAGCAACCCGTGCGGTGTTGTGCCCATTCCAATCAGGGGTTGGGGTTCAAGATGGACGTGGACGACCGCATCTTGCCTGTGGGCCGCTGCGCTAGGTCGTGGTAAGGGCGCTTAGGCGACGGAATTGACAGGGGCTGAGAGGGCAGGTCCATGTACAGATTGCTTATATTTTCCTCTGCAGCCAGTCCCGCCAAGGCTCCGTGGCGGATTCATCGTGAAATGTCAAGAACGACATCTGAGAAAAGTTTGTTACACGGTAAATATATATATTTGAGACTTGAGATGTAGTACATGGAGTTGTCGCACAGCTCTGATACCAATCTATAAGAGATGGCCATGCCACACAAACACAGCCTGTGAGGGGGACTCTATAACTAAGCCAAGCTGCGGCGTATCATTCCAACCCCCCACCACCACGATGGCGTCACAACGGAATCATGTCAATCCTGTTTCATTCTCTTACCAAAGTCCATGTTGCATTGGCCAAAATCAAAAGTGGCCTCCCTTCACCCAGCAACTATTGAGAAAGGATATCTCGCCCGGGAAGAACGTGGTAGAAGCCGTTGAGGACGACCTCTCTTCTCTATTCCCCACGTCTAGGCGGACAAAAGAGGATGACCTAGAAGCGCCAGGCTTTTCTCCTCGCTTCGATTGCGCTACCGCTGACGACGATCATACCATCCACAACTGGGTTGATGAAGAGATCGACTTGCATCGGCTGGCTGACATCCATGGCTGGTTGTGGATCGTGGGTCGGCCCATGCCGCCGCGTCCGCTCCACCAGCAGCGCCTCCTCAACCGCGAGCTCGTCATCACTGAAAGGCTGGACCTACACCTTGTTTGGGCGAACGAACGCATGCTCGTGAAGCCGCTGCCGCGCTTTCTTCTCGATCCGCGGTTCTGGGAAAGATTCCTCCAGTGTCATAAAGGATCCGTCTTTGATGACAACTTGTGCAGCTGTCGTGGTCGACGGGAACGCGCCCTCGGCTTCCTCTTCTCATACGCGGCCCTCATAGCGCACGAGAGCGATTTCCACATTGCCAAGGAAGCACGCCTTATTCCCGAAGAAGTACAATGGTCAGCGTGGAGGAAGGCCGTCCGGGAGCTACTGATTATCACACCATCCATCTACCCCTACATTCACCCGCGTTTTCACTACGGAGAGCTTCGCCTCAGCCGGCTCAATAAGATCTACTTCTGCTGGAAGACTCCACTCTACGGTTACATGTCTCGCTGGAACCAATACGACTCTTTTTTTCACGACAACTTTGCGTTACTGGCCAGCTCAACCGTCTACATCGCTGTAGTTTTGACCGCAATGCAGGTCGGCCTTGCCACAGAGGCCCTACAGAATAACGCGGCCTTCCAGTCGGCATCGTATGGCTTCACCGTTTTCTCCATCGTGGGGCCGCTGGCCGCCGCAGGTCTGGTGATGGTCATGTTTTGCTACTTGTTCATCGGTAATTGGATCGCTACGCAACGATATCATAAGAAAAGGTCCGAACGAATCAAAATCGACCGGTAGAATGGTGTCTCAGCTTTCGCTCCTTATTGATAGCGGTTGCTGCACATTGCATCGGCTATTGGCTATGCCGCAGAGATTTGCTTTTTTCTGGTGGATAAGAGCTCGTATCCTGTCCTGTTATTCTTAGTGGCAAAAGATCGCACACGCATATGTCGAAATCGAAATGTGATTTGGGAATAAAATGCATTGAGCTGAACTGCTTCGTGAGTGCCTCTCTGAACTGTTCTATCGGACTGTTGACTGTTGAAGAGCGATGTAACTATGGTGTGTGTTGAGACGCGATCCATGAGAACTAACATGGCCCATGGCATGATGGCAGTAAATGTGATGAGAAGAAAGCGGGCAGTCCAAGACCATGATGGTAATAACCTGCGACCTGCAAGTTGACGACTCACACTACCTAGCCGGATCCTAGTCGTGGCGCGTAACTGGATGGAGACACTCAGGCCATCAAGCGATTGGGAGTGATACGAGATGAGCCTGAGTACACAATCCTTGGCACTCACGACGATGCTTATCCGTTCAGATGTGGCCGACGTGGCATCTACACTACTGGCTGACAACCAGTCAAATAGGACAAAACACAAAACCAAGTGCAAAGTTGGCATAGATGCCCGTGATTTTGCCCAATCGGCTGGCGCTTCTGAAGAAACATTAGCGCCCTTGGCTCTTGTCTTGAGCCCGCCCCCTGTACGCCACCTTGCCTGGCATTGGTTGTATGCAAAAAGTCGTTTTGGCCGTTTTGGCCGCATCAGCTCCAGCATTCTGCACATCTGAATTGGCCTGAGACGCCAGTTATCACTCACCCGTTTTTCGACGAGGTTTGCCGCACTCCCGTGAATCTCAATCCTTAGTCCACTGAGAGATTCTTACTACGATATACTGAAGATGAGCACGATAGAAGATGAGCCCGGTCATTAGCAGCTCTTCGGTAGTACGAGGAGCTTTCTGGGCGGTTGGCATTGCCGCTGTAATTGCCTTCATTTTCACAGTTTACCCTCTGGCTGCCAGAGTTCAACGCCGAAATCAAGCTTCTCGCCCGGATGGCATCACCATTGTTCATGACCCGGCAAACGCCAAATTTGAGTGAGAGCAATTCGCATATCAATATATGAACTTGAAATCTGACACTTTAATCAGGATCATTGCCGTCCATGGGTTGGGCGCACATCCCATATACACCTGGGAAGGCAAACCCTCCACTGGCAGCCATACGAAGCTTCATTTGCTTAAAGATCTTCTCGGAACAGACTTTCCAACTGCCAGAATCCTATCCTTTGCATACAACTCCGATTGGCTGGTCGATGCTCCCGAGAAGACGGCGCAGCAAATTGGCAAGAAGCTACTGGACAGCTTGGTCAAACATCGGAGCGACTCGCAGCGCCTTCCCATTATCTTCATAGGACACAGCTTCGGCGGTATTGTCATAAAAGAAGTATGTGCTTTATGTCCTATTTTGAATTATCCAAAATAATTAACACTTCTCTTGTAGGCTCTTTGTGCATCGGATGGGCCCTCGACTCTCCTCGAGGATACATGCGGCATTGTCTTCCTTGGCACACCTCATCAAGGATCATCACTATCGACTGTGGGAGCTCTCCTGAGCCAGCTGACTGGATTTTTGGGCTCCAATACCAGTCTAATTCTGGCCCTCAGAAGCCGCGGAAGTCACCTTTCAGAGTTGGAGGACAGATTCAGGGTCGCTATCAACAATGCGGCTCTTCAAGGCAGAATTATATCATTTTATGAAACGAGGCCTACATTCATGTTAGGTTGGTTTTCTGTCGGTCTTGTCAGTCCCGATACCATACACACGTACACACCTATGTTTTATCCCTTCTAACCTATCATTAGGTCGTCGATCGATTTTCAGCCACAGGATATGCGGCAAAGCCAGCATACATGGACACGGATCATTCTGGGCTGAATAAATTCAATAGCTTTGAACATTCCGGTTACCAAGCGCTCAAAGGAGTCATCGATAAGTTGCGGGTCAAGCCTCTGCTCGAACAGGCAGATGACCATATGCGTGAGAAGCACTACACAAAACAGATGCTCAAGATCGAGCGGCTCTCAGGAGATGTTCTATCAATGGAGCAGTGCTACATCAACCTTGCTATTGTGGAGCAAATCAATTCAAAAGGGGATGATTCAGTGCCGCGGTCCTCATCCTTCTCATTTTTTGCGCAGCAGAAAATCGAGACATCAGAGGCTCAGGTTGAGTTGGCTGACATCTTCAGCCAGCGCGTAAAGTCAGATGGCACGAAGATCTTGCCTACAAGAATTCTGATCCGTGGGCGCGCTGGCGTCGGTAAGACCACATTGTGCAAGAAGATGGTCCATGACTTTATCAAACAGAAGTTGTGGGGTCACTTGTTTGACCGCGTGCTCTGGGTTCCTCTGCGGAACCTAAAGCAACGAGCAGGTACAGGTTACAATCTCAAGATACTGTTTGATCACGAGTTTTTTCGGGTTTTCGATGAACATACGAAGGATGATTGCACACGCTTCGCGAAGGAATTACACAAAGCACTGGCGCATAACCGAACCCTCTTTATCCTCGACGGCTGGGACGAAGTGGCTGGGACCGACAAGAATAACGACATGTTTCATTTTCTGCGCCAGCTTCTCAGTCAACCCAACGTCATCATCACATCACGACCGTCCGCGGTTCTTCCACACGGCATCAAAGTCGACCTGGAGCTCGAGACGATTGGGTTCAGCCCAGAGCAAGTGTCTGAGTACATCACGAAAGCCCACGGAGGGAACGCGGATGAGCTTCAAAATTTTCTACAAAGCCATGAGCTAGTTCAAGGGCTTGTTCGGATACCCATACAGCTAGACGCTTTCTGTCACTGCTGGGACCCGCATGATAATGGAGGTCTTGAAGGGAGGCCACATACGATCACGACACTCTACCAGACCATCCAGACGAGTCTATGGAAGAAGGATGCCGTTAGACTTGAAAGGACGCCGGCCAAGTCGTTGGAGACCGCTAGCCAGAAGTCCATCGAAAAGACTATTAAGGAAGAGCTGTATTTCCTCGAGTACCTGGCTTTCGCTGGAATGGCTGCTGACAAGGTAGAGTTCGGAATCGAGGACCGGAATGAGGCCCACGGATATCTCAATCTCTCATTCTCACTAGACGAGAACCTACCGCGCCTCTCGTTCCTCCGAACCTCGGACCCATCAGCCAAACACGAGCACCAGCTCTATCACTTCATACACCTGACGTTCCAAGAGTACTTTGCCGCACAATACTTTGTACGACATTGGACAGCCAAATCAAACTTGGAATATTTGGTTGTTGGGCCCAAAATCAAAGAGGAAACCATCTCTCCTGTTGATTTTCTCCAAAACCACAAATATGACGCAGGATACGATAACATGTGGCGCTTCGTTGCCGGACTGTTGGACGCCACAGACCAACGTCAGACAAGTCGCACTCAATCAGATCGATCTGAGACAGCTCGCTTTTTCCAGGAACTTGAGAAGAAGCCAGTCGACCTTCTGGGACCTACACATCAGCGGCTAGTCATGCATTGCTTAAGCGAGGCCACGTCTTTGCCAGACGAGTTTCGAGAGAGCAGAGAGAATCGGCTGTTGAAATGGGTACTATTCGAATGCGATTACACAGACTCGTCAACCTTGGCAATGGAATCAGAGCTGCCAGACCAGGTACTATGCACTGCATTGAGTAGCTCTGAGGACCCAAGCGTGCTGTTGCGCGCCCTAGCATCTTCTGGACGACATTTGTCACAGACGATCGTGGCTGTCCTCGCAGGACTCTTCAAACATGAAGATGAGATGGTAAAATACTACGCCGTTGTAGCTGCAGGCAGACAGTCGACATTATCAGAGGCGACCATTAGTTTCCTAGTGGAACTTGTGAAAGATAGTGAAGACGTGTGGTCCGCAGCTGAAGCTCTAGGGCATCAGTCAAAGTTATCAGATATAACCATGAGTGCCCTCGTAGAGCTCTTCGAGGCTGAGGACGCGGTTATGCGATATCATGCTGTCTGCGCTCTAGACAAGCAGTCGTCCTTCGCAGAAAAAGTCTCATCTGTCTTAATAGGATTCTTGGAAGAAAAGGACGCAGATTTAGGTTCGGACGTCTCTTTGGAACTAAGGAGGCAGTCGACCTTATCAAAGGCGAGCATGACAGCCCTTATAGAGCTTCTTGAGGATGAGGATGTTGAGGTATCGGTATTAAAAAACGTCCTTCAAGCTGTGGGTATGCGTCCGATGCTACCAGAGAGAACCACAACTGCCATCACAGGGCTCTTCAAGCATAATGATGAGGACATACGATCATCCGCCACCGTTGCTTTACGAGAACAGAAGACATTGTCAGACACGACTATGGCTGCCCTTGCAGAACTTTTTAAGGACAAGTATAGTATGGTAAGACGGAACGCTGTTTTGACTGCGGGCGAGCAGTCAATATTGTCAGAGAAGACGACGCAGGCCCTTACAAAACTTCTCAAGGACGAAGACTGGGGTGTGCAACAATACGCCGCTGAGGCTCTAGGCAAGCAATCGATATCGCCAGAGACAACATTGATTGCTCTTATAAAGCTCTGCGAGCACGAGTCCAGTGACGTACGAAGTTCAGCGGTTGAAGCTCTGTCGAACCAATCAAAGCTATCAAGAACTACTCCAGAACCGTTCAAGGATGAAGACTGGAGGTTACGACAACAAGCGGTTCAAATTGTGGAAAACCAATCAACGATACCAGAGATAATCATGGCCGCTCTTGTGGATCTCCTCAAGGATACAGACTCTGGGGTTCGGCTTCTCGCCACAAAAGCTCTAAGCAGGCATCCGAGACTACCAGAAATACCTCTGAATGCTCTTTTAGAACTATTTCAGGATAAGAACGAAGCGGTGCGAGAAAGCGCTATTGAGGCCATAAGCAAGCAGTCGACACTTTCAGAGACGGCTATAATTACTCTTACTAGTCTCCTTAAGGATGGAGACTGGACCGTTAAAGAGAACGCCTTCAAGGCTCTAGGCAAGCAATCGACACTTTCAGAGACGGCCATGATTGCTCTTATGAGTCTCCTTAAGGACGAAGAATCCCCGGTACGAATTCATGCCGCCAAGGCTTTAGGCAAGCAATCGACACTTTCAGAGACGGCCGTGATTGCTCTTATGAGTCTCCTTAAGGACGAAGAATCCCCGGTACGAATTCATGCCGCCAAGGCTTTAGGCAAGCAATCGACACTTTCAGAGACGGCCATGATTGCTCTTATGAGTCTCCTTAAGGATGAATACTTGCTGGTACGAAGATCAGCCGCCCAGGCTCTAGGCAATCAATCGACACTTTCAGAGACGGCCATGATTGCTCTTATGAGTCTCCTTAAGGACGAAAACTCGAGCTCACGATGTACAACCTGGTTCTTTAGAGACGGATACCACTTTCTCAAACGAAGCTACGCCGCCGAGGCTATAGGAGACCAGCCGGAGTTGATGGCCAAAATTTTGGAAGCCCTAGAGTTAACGACACAATCAAAATCGCGGACTGAGAGCAGCACATCTCTCCCCCGAACTTCGAAGCATACATGTATGGAATTTCTTTATACGACTTGGCTGCGGCGAAGTTTCAAGGAACAGTTCAGTATGTACAGTTGTGGAAACGAATTGAATATCAACGAACCGTCTGGCCTCCGGGAAGCCATTATTGAGAATGAGGACTTCTTTAGAGATCTGATTCTTGAATGGCAGCGTTACTTGGAGAGAGTCACTGGCTATGATCTTTGGCAGCCATTAGATAATGAGGATGCTAATGCTGAAGGGTTTTGTACATAGTCCCGGGTAGCGTCTCTTCAAGCAACACCCACAGATGCAATCATGATAACATGAGGCTGATGGTTGGTGAAAGATTTAATTCAGTTACAATAGCTGCATCGCGTCTAGAGCAGAGCCTTGCATAGAGGAGATGTGATAATGGGCGTTCGTGTATTGCATATCTTCGGATATGGCAGATAAAGAAGCTCCTGACAGTCGTTGAGCTTTTCTCATATGACGTGTAGCCACTTCTGACTGCCCTGGTGAGGTAATATCGGGATAGAAGTTTCCGGCAACACTAGCTCTTTCGCCCGATCGAGATGGAGCTGGCGATTATGTTTGAACGTTTGTACTCCACACCCACGGAAAGTTTTGGACCATTCAGAAGACTCAAAAGCTCTAGATGCTGCTGGCCATGAATGTATGATGATTCCAAAATGGTGAGATAAGGAGATTTGGCATATTGTAACACCTCCGACGTGTTGGGGCGCGCCCGCCACTGCCCCCTCTGCTTTATCCAGGTACTCATTGCAGTATACTGGCCTCTCCCGCTTGATGAAGCCATTGAGCCATCAAGAGCAATTTTTTACAAGGCAATAGGGAAAAACGCAGGTATCGTTTGATAATTCCGATTACATCTATTACATCTATCCAAGGAAATCCGAGATCAGGGCGATCTAGTGAGTAAATGCACATATATGGGCCAAGGAGTCAATGCCAAAGACATGGACGTCCAGCTCATCAATAATGCCAGTTATGCCGGCTTCGTAGCCCACGAATGAACTTCGACCTTCTCCGAGGAGCTAGCCTAGGCCTCTTGGATCCCATGTCTTGACGCCAGTCAGAAAAGCTCCCTCCCAATATTTCCCCCTTCTCATCCTGTTAGGACGCGCGTTTCATTGTGAATTTCTTTCTTAAGAAACAGCCGGCCCGATTCCTTCCTCATTTATGCGTTCTGGCCGAGAAACGGCCTGAAGAGGATTGATTCGACCCGTGACTGGGCTATTAGGATGGCACTTCAATCTTCCTCTCCCGGGAATCTAAATAAATTGGGGGAGAATTGGGGGAGAATTGAATGGAAAATTGTTGGAGAAGGCAGAACTCGAAATAACGGAGCAGGAGTGAAGAGTTAGCGATAGGTAAAAAGGGTTGGAGGTCGTCTTCACCTGTCGAGTCCTCACATACGAACTAACATTGATGAGGTAATATAGTGTGGGACTGTTTTTTGACCCTTCTATTACACCATGCGGGCTCGGCTAAGGAGATTCTGATGGCGACGTAAAAGACGATGACTAGTATTATCCTGCAGACCAGCTGTACCGGTCCACTGCAGTTGATACCTGTTAGGAGCGCTATTGAAATGCTGAACTAGGAGTTGGTAAGAGAGATACTGGTGCCTAAAACAAACTACAGCGAAAAGCCTTTGCGAAGTTCTTGACCGTTGCTAGTTTGATTTGTAACTGCTAAGAGCGATATTAGAACGTTGCTTTTGGTTGATGCCTCGTTTTCGCCCAGGTAGGCCACTGGCCGGTGCGTATTACACCCCGCTGCTAGGACAATATATGAACTAAGCTATCTAATCTCGTCGCATTGAGCTTCTCCGCGAAAAGATGATTTTTGGAATATGATTCAGATTGAATACTATGTTGCTGGGAGAGTAGGTATTTGATGCTTTTTGGTGAGAAAGAGGACACAACTTGTTAATAAGTAATCAATTTCTGGGATCGAGAAGACCTGGCGGCAAGGAAGACATCAAGTAATTCATATTCATGACATTCATGGCGTTTACTATCTAACAATGTCACCCAAAAATAGGGACATATCCCCAATCTAGGTAGCCAATTGAAAAACTAATCCGTAATAGAGTCTCCGAAAAGCCACAAAGATGATTGCTCCCCCGTTATAACTACCACACCGTATGGTAGATCAACCGCGGGTGGCTTATATAGTCACTTCCAACTTCAACTTTTAGTTTAGGCTCAGAAGATTGAAGCCTTCGTGATGGTTCCTTGTTGTGTAGAGTCAGATAAACTGACAAGGGCCTCCTGGAATGACGTCGAGAAACGGGAGCGGTCAATCCCGTGCTTTACCGCGCTCGCGCTGTCACAAAATCGACCCCGGAGCTCCAGCGGAACGCGCGCTCGAGACGAGGGCGTCCGGTTCCGGTAGATCACCGCAGTTTGTGCTTCCTTATCTGGGCCCGTACCAAACAGCAATCACACCACTTCACTACCGCTGACTTCTTGACTATCAGCATCTCAAGATGTCGGCACTTTTCTCAGTTCACGCGGCACAGGTTCCCCTTTGCCTGTGGGCAACGCGCTTCAATTTTGATCATCATGTCATCTAAACCCCGGAGCACCCTCGCTAAGCCCGTCCTCCACATTCACAATAGGTCCTTAACGTGCTACGGCAAAAGAAAATTGCAACAAGGCAAAACCCGGCTACCACAGCTCCAAATGTACCAAGCTTGATCATCGATGGCTAAAATTGGCAATCCGTAAGAGGGCTACAGGACCGAATCGCGCAACCCATTCGCGCGGTACCACGGGGCAAAGGGCTGGCGCGGCTGCTCGGTCACCCAAGTCCCCTGAGGCGAACACGACTGTTGCTACGGTACCCCAGTCAGTCTTTTTACCCGACGAGACATCGTCAATGTCGAGTGTACAGACAGCATCACATATTACCAACCAGAGCCAAGAAGATGATGCTCCTCAGCTTCTTGCTGCCCATGAAAGCCCCGTCGATCTAACGTGTCAGCACTGGATATTCTGTCTTTTCCTACCGCTGCTACCGATGGAAGCCACGATGGCGGGCTTCTGAAAGACATCTTGGTCGCGCCACTCGGGCATGATCAAGCCCTGGGGCTCAGTTTCCAAGGTCACTGTCCATCATGCACGGGACTGCCGACAGCAGCCCGATAGACTTAATGAGCCGCTACCTGGGCGTGACTACAGTCAGCATGGCGAACAAGTCGACGACGGAATACCTCTCTTGTGTATTGTTGACCCTGTTGGCGTTAAATAGCGACCTTATGCTGCATTTGCTCTTGACGTTAACTGCAGCGCATAGGGCGTTCAAGTCTCTGAGCAGCGCAGAACGGTTTGCGGCCCAATAATACGATTTGTCGATTCTTTTGTTACAGTGAAGCCTCTCTAACTTCATTGGCGGGTAGCCGCTTGAGTAAAAGCTTCATGTTATCATGGGCATCGGCACTCTGATATTATGGTTTATTGAGGGCAGTCATGTTCCTGCCGTATCATCAGCGGCACAGATATCGGTGCCCATTTGGTGGCGATTACTTGAGATATACGATGCCATTCAAGACGCTCATAGTCTATGCATAAGGAGACGGAGAAATGCGATGTTAATGGCGCCATTTTCGATCACATTTAGCGGCCTAACCGTTTTTATTTCCGTTATTGACTCCTGGCAGCTTACAGTCGGAAGTTTTTGAAGACTTCATGATTGAATAATACACTTATATGACGACCTTGAGCATGATCTCTTATGACGTTCGTGTAGCGACCAGTTATTAATCAATAAAAATCTGGTAATGTTGGCAATAGAACCAGTGATAATATCCCACGTTGGTAGTCTGTGTGGGTGCTTATTAGACCAACCGCTTCTCATACTTTTCATCTTCGACCTCGGCTGCTGCTTGTTATCTTATAAAAAGGACATAAATTGGCACCTCCTAGTAGACGACTATTTTAGTACTCGCTCAGCTCTACAGCCAGACAAAGAAGTGAGCACCAGATCTAACAGCCAGTCCTGATGCTGTCGTCCTCACCGGCTACATTCATCAAGCAGCAGTTGTACCATACCTCTATATAGCGCTCACTCCCTCTCACGAGAAGATGACAATAATACATAAGTTATTATGACCTAAGCCGCCCTACCCGAGGCCTTTATGAGTCTTGCGCAGCTGCCCTGAGTGTCCAGATCAACACGAGTCTGTGCTGGCCAATCGCTGTGGCCGAGTCTGGCGTAGCAGACGATGGGCAGCGGTATCTCCTCCGCGAGAGGCTTGGGCACATGTTCTCTGCCATTGGGCTGGGGAATGCCCACCAGACGTCGGCGCTGCTTCGGCACGTGTGGGAATCAAGTAATGAAGAAGGAGGAGCCGTCGATTCGGGGACGTGAAGTATCTGTTGCGTGATGAACGACCAGAAGCTGTGAATTTCGTTTGCTCAAAATTATCAACATTGATGCGAGGCACCTGTCTCTACCGATGGCCTTTAACGCTCGATCTCCGATGTGTCTCTGGCGGCGCCGCGCCGACAACTAGCGGGGTCGATCTTTTAAAGTTGTGAGATTTTGGCAGATCAGGATCGGAACTCGCGTATCTTCATTCTGAAAGTTATGACGAGGCCGACAAAGGCAAGACACCAGCACACGCGCGCGGCTCTGACGTGTGAAATGTGGTTTCTGACTTGGTGGTCCCCGGATCTTGCCCGCTCTTCCACCCGCAGTACGCCGGCCCCACAGAGGAGAGAAAAGCGGAATAACGGGGTTGTCGGAAATACGGAGATACGGGAATATTTACATATTCCCTACGGCGCCAGCAGTGATTGACTCGTACATGACTAGGAAGTTTCCCCGATTCTTCACAAGGACTGTCATTCTACTGTGGCTATCACAATCTCCAACTTAGTTTGATCAATTCGTTCTACGTCTTAGCGATCCAAGGCGAGCGGCATGTCACTTCGATATCCGTAGACCAACATTAAAAACGGTGTCGGCGCCCGTTTCCATGGGTTTTGAGAAAATGTTGGGCATTGCCTGTTGACACCCCGGAAAGTTGCTCGACAACCTGCAGGCAAGCACACCCAGGGAGAGATATCGTTGACAGCCTTGGATGAATGTCAACCCGGCTTTCAACCCCCACCACCCGAGCGCCAAAAGTGGCTGGAACCCGCGGCCTTGTCATTCGTCTGTCAGACTAGCTTGACTCGGGCCCAAGCTCCCTTCGACGCTTTCGACGCCCATCACGGTCGGCGGTGGGATGGCGTCGTTCCCGAGCGCGCGGGGGAATGGACGCCACACGCTGCTAAGCTCTTGCGCCTTTGGCACTAGACCAGCCCAGCCAGCACGTTGCCCGCCTCTTGGAAACCTCAGCACTGCCTATATTCGGCGCGTTAAGCTGTGCTGGTCTTTGGCTTTTCCGAAAGGTGTTCCGAAATGGGAAACGCCGAGTTTTTGCCTGCTAGCATGCGCTGCTGGTCCAGCGTATTTAGTCTCGACAAAGGGCTCGTGACCAGACGCTGGATTGGGAAGAAGGTCGGGGTACGAGAGTTCCAGAGCTGCTGTCCGCGGCCCGGGGGCGGATTCGCCGATGAGCGAGCTGTGTTGGTCAAGTGTCTTGGTGTCTTTTTCTTTGGGGGAAGGGGGGGTTTTCGAGAAGTTGTCCAAGAGCAGCGCGACATTGCCAGGCATAGCTTTCGGAAACAACTCGAAGAAAATCTTAGACAGTGCAAATGTACATCGAATGGACACCAGGTTCCGTCCCGTTGGAGACAGATCAGATTAGATTCGAGTCTTTCCGTCTTGCCGCTGGGCGTAATCCGAAAAGGGTAAAATTATCCTTTCAAGGGTCCATTGAACAGGCTATCACCGACGCACTGCGCACTGACTGGCTTGATAGCCACGCCGTTGTGGGAATGCCGAATCGTGTGCCGCGTGATGGGACCAAGGATGTGCTGGAACTTGGTGAATCCAGAAGTCCAGTCAGCAACCACACGGAAGCAATTTTCATGGAACGAAAAGAAAAGGCCCATCGAAATGGACTGGATCCATATCCGGTACCCCCTTATTCTTACACTTACAGGTGTGCTAGGACCCTCTTACTAGCACTCACCAATCCCACGTGTAAGACCGAGACAGAGCTCTTAGGTCCCCTTGTCCTGCTAGCTGGTTCGGGGATCTTCTTTCATTTCGTAGTTTGTCTAGTCCGGGAATGGCGAATTTTCCAAATTGGAAATGGGTCCCCTTGGGCCCTTGGGACCCCGTTCGGAGGGGCGTTCCCGCCTTCGCGCTGCCGTTGGCGTCACTGACGGGTAGATCATTTTTCTCTTACTTCAACTCGAGTCTCGCCCGTCCTTGTTGGCTTCGGGACTCTGGTCTCTGGCGATCTGTCTTCCATCCGAATCCCAGGTTGACAACATACGAGGGTTGAGAGCGACTTATCCCACTGGAAACATCAAGTCACGATGGCTTCTCCGTTGGTATCTGAGAAGCAGCAGGTCCGTAACAGCATTGACTCATTATCGGGCGACAGAACCGCGGCTGCGACACCGGACGCCAACACGCTCCGAGACGACAAGCACATCCCTGACGACTCGAGCTTATCCCACGGCCCATCAAGCAGAGACGACTCCAGCGACGACAACGGCGATGATCTCGCGCCGCAACAATCCAATGCTTCCTCAGTATGGGCTGTCGACACAATGTCGTTCCCTAGAGAAGCTTTGTTCGTGATTATTTGCTGCATGGCCCAGTTTTGTACTCGTGAGTTGCTGCCTATCGTAACTTCCTCTAACAAACATCACCACACACACACACACACACACACACATACACACGCATATACACACGCAGAAACGATGGCTAACCCCAACATCAGAGGCCGCGTACATGGAAACCCTCATGCTCCTCCACGTCATCGGCGACTCCTTTCACGTAGACAACCCAGCCCGCCTAGCCTGGCTCGTCGCCGGCTACTCCCTCACCGTCGGCACCTTCATCCTCTTCTCGGGCCGCCTCGGCGACGCCTTTGGCTACAAGCGCATACTCATCATCGGCTTCGCCTGGTTCTCCCTCTGGTCCCTCATCGCCGGCCTCAGCGTCTACTCCAACTTCACCCTCGCTGTCTTCTCCCGCGTCCTCCAGGGCATCGGCCCGGCTCTCTGCCTCCCCAACGCCCTCGCCCTCTTCGGTTCAGCGTACCCGCCGGGCCACCGCAAGGCCATGGTCTTCTCCTTCTTTGGCGCCGTTGCGCCCATGGGTGGCGTCGTCGGGGCCGCTATCGCGTCGACGCTCGAGCTGGAGTGGTGGCCCTGGGCCATGTGGGCGCTCTCCATCTGGCTCGCGATTCTGGCTGTGGCTGGGTATTTCATCATCCCCGAGCCAGCCGCCAAGCTGCGACCTCCGACGAACTTCAAAAGCATGTTTGTCGAGCTCGACATCCCCGGCGCCGTCACGGGCATCGTGGCGCTGATCCTCTTCAACTTTGCCTGGAACCAGGCGCCCATTGACGGCTGGAAGACGCCCACGGTCCTCGTCCCGCTCATCCTCGGCCTCGTCCTGTTCGGTGTCTTCACCGCCATCGAGTTCAAGTACGCTGAGAAGCCCCTGCTGCCCTTTGACGCGGTCAACGCCGACGTCGCGTTCGTGCTGGCGGCCGTCGTCTGCGGCTGGGCGACGTTTGGCGTGTGGACGCTCTACCTCGTGCAGATCCTGCAGGAGATCCGGACGCTGTCGCCGCTGCTCAGCTGCGCGTGGTTCTCGCCAGTCGTGGTGACGGGTGGTATCGCGGCCGTCATCACGGGGAAGCTGCTCGGTCCGCTCAAGGTGCGGCCGCCTGTCGTCATGACCATGGCGCTCCTCGCGTTCACTATCGGTGTCATTCTCACTGCGACGGCGCCCGAGAACCAGGTCTACTGGGCACAGATCTTTGTGTCCATGATTATCATGCCGTTTGGGATGGACATGAGTTTCCCGGCCGCGACGCTGATTCTGTCGAATGCCGTGAAGAAGGAGCACCAGGGTATCGGGGCCAGTCTGGTCAACACCGTCGTCAACTACGGCATCGCGCTTGGGGTTGGGTTTGCGGGTACTGTAGAGGTGCACGTCGGCAAGGGCACCGGGACCAAGCAAGAGCAGTTCAAGGGGTTCCGGGGCGCGTTGTATATGGGCGTTGGACTCGCTGGGCTGGGATTGTGCGTGGCGTTGACGTTTCTGGCGAGGGAGTGGCGGCATCGGAAGGGCGCACGGGGGAACGAAGAGAAAGCTGCCGAGGCGCAGACGGGGAGCTCATGATTAAACATGCATAGAATAGAAAAGGTGTTGCTCAGCGCAGCTTTAGACTAGACGTTGATAGACAAAAATTTTGTTCACCAATTGGGGTTGACCTCTGCCATGAGATGCAAACATGAGGTCGTCGTTGCGTTCCTTTGAAGTCAGTCACTACCCATATTTATGAGTCGGTTCATATGTCTTCTTTGCTCCGTTGCGGCCTGAAGCGATAATAACTTGAAGTTCAAAGTACTAGACGCCTGAGACGAATCTAGATGCTTGAGAGACCGATCTTACCTATCGAGGGGTCTTCATACATCTCGGTATTCTACATTGTTTCCTAATTGCCTTCCATTAACCTCGCTACTGAGATTCGATGTACATGCAGAAAGGTCACTTACGAACACCGAGCATATTAATTGCCCTTGGCTCTGCTTACCCGTCTAACGATTGTCCTGATGCAATGATGGAATTGAGGCGATTTTGGCCCTGCTGAGTGAATTCTAGAGTTCATAGGTTTCCACATTGATTCGTACACTATCACGGCTTTAGTACATGAGTAGATGTCTATATATACATGTAAGGTAGGTAGACCACGTTGCTGTTCATAAATCATTATGCAACACTTGGGAGACGTAATGTTTAGTATCCTCAAGAAAAACAAAACATCCGTAGCTCGCACTACCCCGTGGATGAGGTAGTCTACACTCACATCGGATGACGATCTTACTCATACCCTCCAGGACTGATTCTTGCCGAATAGTGTCACCCTCAAAACCAACATCAGTATCGTCATTGCCGTCATACCAAGTCCTGAGAGCAGCTGCACACCCAGATACCCACCAGTAGCTCGGAGTAAGGCGCCCGCGATCGGCGGTCCAGCCAAGGAGCCAAACGCATTCGTTGTGCACAGCATGCCCAGCCACGTGCCATGTAAGCTCAGATCGGGCACGAGACTGGAGATGACGGTAGGCGGCAGCGAGACGAGCCCGCCAGAGGCGAAGCCGTAGGTAACCGCAAAAGCGACGCTTCCCGCGCCGTCATGCACGGACAGCCAGCTCAGCGCGACGGCGGTGATGGAGACGGAGACGCCGAGGAGGACGTTGATGGGCCCAAAGTGGCCGGCGAGCCAGGCGGGGAATACTCTGCCGAGAATCGAGCCCGCGTTGAGGATTGCGACCAGGTAATACGCTACCCTCGGAGATCCTGCGTAGGAGAATCCGTGGGAGAGAGAGTATTGCTGGAGATAGTATATGGGCGCCATGTATGAGAAGAAGTTGAAGAACATGGCCGCGGAGAAGACGACAAACGAGACGTTTCGGTAGGCCGAGAGGTCCAACATGATGCGTCTCTTTGGCTTCCCGGCGTCCGCGTCGTCGGACTCGGACCCGGATTCGGCCCGGCGACGTTGCCGCAGGACGGCAAAGGCAAAGGCGTTTGTGACGAGGGAGATGAAGGCGAGGACCCGTGTCGCCCAGGGGAAGCCCACGCGGGGGTAGAGGCTCTGGAAGATGAGGGGATACACCACGCCTCCGAGGCTGCTGCCCGTGGCGACGATTCCCGTGGCCAGGGCGCGGCGCTCCGTGAAGTATTGCGGGATGATGGAGACGGAGGGGATGTAGATGCAGCCCGAGCCCAGGCCGACGCAGAATGCCTGTGCGAGGAGGACCTGCCAGTAGGCCGTCGCGATGCTCGTCATTGTCATGCCGAGGAAGATGAGGGTGATGCCTGTGAAGGTCAGGCTGCGGAAGTAGCCCGCGTCGTAGAGGGGCCCGACGAGGACGCCTGTGAAGAGGAGGAGAGAGGATTGGATTGAGCCGATCCAGGCGATTGAGTCGGCGGGGACGTTCTTCATGTGTTCCTGGTAGTAGGCCTGGAAGACGCCATAGGAACTCAAGATGCCCCTATTGGATAAAGTTAGCTGAGAATGTTACTCCGTGGCAGCCGCAAAGGTCTGGCGGGCTGGCTGGCTACTTGGGCAGACGGAGGGAATCATGACTGACCAAGAGTTGAAGAATAGGAAGAATGAACCCGCGACCTGAAGCCAGGCTAAGCGGCCGCCATCTCGAGGGCGCAACTCGATCTCGACACTCTCACTCACGTTGGCGGCGGCGTTCTCTTTCGGCTGCGTTGCCGTGCTTGCCTCGGGAGACGGCTCCGAGTACGGAGACGCATCATTGGAGATGCGAATAGTAGACATGACAGCGAACCACGGGCAACTCGAAACAATTCCATAGAGGCAGCACTACATGTACATATCAACAGAAACGGGTAAAGGAAAAACGATAAACATAATTCAAGTGTAGGCGCAATGGTTTGTCATGCAACCTGTCTTGAAACACAAACCCTTTGCTCTTACGAGAAGTCTCTTTTGCAATCGGCAAACTCGCGCCGGCGTCGGGGGCGGACGGGCGGGCAGACTGACACAAGTCATGATCAACTGCTACCCCATAAGGCGCAATCGACGTCGGAGAAGGTTTACCCATCCTTGTTCGAGCACAGTATTCGTACAGCCCACGAGGCCTTTTTAAACGATTCAGCCCCGCAAAGTTGAGTTGCGTCTATTCGTGCGGTCTAGAGGGTAAATGGACTGGTCAGCGGAAGCCGAAGGTGGACAAAATGACATGGTAGTCGGGTGTTTGCCGTTCACGGTTAGGCTCTTCCCGAGACTGCGGGGACCATCCGAAGCCGAACTTTTAGGTCAGATTTGTTCGGTTCAATGTTCGGTAAGACGCGAAAGTTAGGCTTGCTTGCTGACATTTCCCCTGTTGATCCCGTTGAGGATGATTCCGAATGAGAAAAATCCATCACGGGTGGAAACTTGAAAGTTTGTCCATCTCAGGAATACCGTTTGTTTCTGTGTTTGATCTCCTGTGCGGCTTTCCGCGAACATCGGCCTCATCATGGAGTCCGCGTCCTCACCACTGCGGTACCGAAAGAACGGTCGGCTCCAAGCATGCGACCCCTGTCGCCGGCGCAAAGTCGCATGCGACCACGCTCGGCCGGTCTGCAGTAATTGCAAGAGACGGAGACGGACGGAGCCGTGCGAGTTCACCATGAGCGCGCCGGCGCAGATGCGACCAGACCCAGGAGGCCCCCGTGCTGTCTCGGAACGGACGTCGCGATCAGCGAGTGTGAGTCCGGGCTCGGAGATGGGCGCCGAACGCAGCGGGCGGCAATATCAGCCCGCAACTGCGTCCACCCTCGTTGATCGGCGGTCTGAGATTAGCCCTGTCCTGACCGAAACAGAGACACCTGTGCGGCGGGCTCCGAGTCGTGAGCTCGGTGTGGCGGACGGCGGGTCCGGGCACCTCGGCTTCATGTCGTGGAGTGACGTGTACAGGGAGGTCGGGAACGGGCTGTCTGGCCACGACGTACACGCAGAAAAGGAGATTAGGTTCGTGGGCCGGGAGACCAGGTCGCAGCGGGAGACCATTGTCTTCGCCGAAGACGCCAGGACGCTGGAGACATGCCTGTCCGTCCTGCGGCAAGTTCCCGATGAACGGGAGGGCCGACAGCTCTTCAACTCACAGTTCGACCCGCACAACGCCTTCATCCACCCAGTCGCCGTGCGCGCCCTGGACTCGTTGTACGGCACGTTCGGTCACTACCTGGGCACCGCCCGGGACGACGCTCAGCTGTCCGAATTCGCGCGGCGGCTGTGCTATAACTCGTCCCGGCCTTTCTTCGAGCACGAGCCCGATCCGGAGCTGTGGATGGCGCAGTTCACCAGAGAGAATCTGCGATGGGAGACGCTTGGGTTGTTGTTTATTTACTGGGAGATGAAGCTCCGAAACGAGCAGCTTCCGAGGACGGAAGTCGGGCGGATGGGGTACGGGCAGAAGAACGCGTTTAGGAAGTGTATCTTTGACTGCATCACGTTGGCGCGGCAGGCTAATGACGTTGGGAACACGTTGCTGCTGTATCTTTACTTTAGGCGGATGATTATTGAGTCTATCATTGATGGAGATACAAGTAAGTTGACGGGTGACTTGCCAAGTCTTGAGTAATTCACTCGACTGGCCATCTGCGTTACCGAGATAGTCTTCAGAGGCGGGAGGCTAACATAATCACAGGTCGTTCGACGTGGATGACACAAGGGGAGACAGTCTCACTGCTCACCTTCCTCGGCCTACACGTTGAGCAAAACAAGGGGCCGTACAAACCAACCCTGGCATCCGAGCTGCGAAGACGCGTCCTCGTAAAGATTTTTGTCCTCGACAAAGTCGGGTCGGCGATCACAGGCCGACCGCCCGCCCTGAGTCGCCGGTACATTTTGACGCCGATCCCGCTCGACATACGGGACGACTACCTGCTGGGCGATGACGAGACGATCAGCAAGGCGGTGCGATCGCTGGACAAGTCGGGCTGGAATGCCGATGGGGCGCTGAACTCGGTCACGTTCTGGCGGGCTCGGTATCAGCTCATGATCATCCGGGATGAAATCTTTGAGGTTGCTTTGGGGCCTGAGGCGGCTATTTCAGTGGAAGTTTTGCTGTAAGTGAGAGAAGAGGCGGTATCTGAGAACACGACCAGTGTCCAGGAGATTGCTAACTCTGCCACTTCCAAAGTGCCCTCAAAGCGAAGGAGTTTGCGGCCGCGGCCGAGATGCCGACCATTATGCGGTTCAAAGAGTCAGACATACGGAATCCTAGTCTCACTGGTCAAATGTTCCACGTGCGTTTGCTCATGCAATTGGAGCATCTGCAGAATCTTTTCTTCATCGAGAGACTTTTGCATCGACAGGACTGTTCCAACAAACGGGAATTGCTGTCCGTGAGCTACGAGATGACGTCGACCACGTTGCTCTTCTGGACTGATATGGATAGTCTTGGTGTCTTGTGTGAGGATTTCAAGTGGCTGGTAAGTGCACTCTGGCCCTACATTAGATCGGCAAGCAGCTTTTCGAAACACACGAGATCGATATCCGTACTGACATATGCACGACTTACCCCAGGTCTTAGCATACGCCGCACCAGGAGGCGGGATCCTCTGCCTCGAGCTACTCAAGCCGACGCTGACTCTCGCCAACAGCGGCGTGACCGTCACAGATAGCAACGGCAAGGTCATTACGCGGTCCAGCATCGTGCAGGTGCTGAGTCTTCTGGTCGGGTTCCTGAAGTGGGTGAGCCCGTCCGAGGCCACGGGCGGCATCTGCGCCAGCACCATGACCATTGTGCAGCAGGTGCTCGACGAGGCGCTCAACGGGGCGCCGAACAGCAACCCGTCTGGCGATGCGATGGAATGGGACTTTTCGGCGCAGCTGGATTTCAATTTTGATCTGTTGGATACATATGAGTGGATGCGGCCAGAGTTTTCGTGGACCGATTTGCCGGCGCAGGGTTGAGTTGGCTGGGCTGGTGCTTGGGTTGTCGGCCTGCCGGTGTTAGTGCTTTGCCCAATGCATTTTTTTCTTTTTCTTTTTGTTTTCATATCTAAGGTACAGGTGTCATATATAATTGGGCAAGAGGCAAAAAGAAGACTATCTCACTGAAATGAATTATGAAGGAGACAAGATCGCAATGTCTCAATTGGAAAAAAATTGCGATGAGGAGACTATCTTGTGAGGGTATTATTCACAATTACAGCTATACGATTCAACCATCTGGTCGGTTAGCTCAGTTGGTTAGAGCGTGGTACTAATATGTCACCTGAAATGTTGTGTAATGCCAAGGCCGGGAGTTCAAGCCTCCCACTGATCATCTTCTTTTGCTAATGCATTCTAGCAGTGTTGGCTTTTGTCTTGTTTTGCTTGGATCCCCTAGATCTTCTGTCCTGCCTGCCTGGATTTTCCATGCCAATTCGCGATTGGTGCAGTTCATGCCGACAGATTAGTACTAGTCAATCTGCCTTCGATACTTGCAACAACAACTTTCTTATAAAACTGACGACTTCGTTCAGCATCTAACTAGTGAATACCTTAAATAGCATTTACCTCAATATATAGACACTCCTTGACATGCGACATTATTCCCAAATTCTTTTGAAGGTAGAAATTGACAGATCGCCTGGGTTCTGTGGGCTGAGCATTGGGCAGTGCCAAGTGTAGCATTTCGGTTGATGCAGGCAGGCCAATCCTTAAAATCAATTCTCGGGAAAACCGTTGACGGGTAGTGTTTTCAACGGTCTATTCTCTTGATCAGGGAAGCGTTGGGAGCCATGCCAAACCCCAAGCGCTTGAACATTCTTCAAACGATCCTCTAGTAGGCCAGCATTGGCTTGCGCGGGCAGAGGACATTTAGGTAAAATTCTTTTGTCCTTGTTATAACGCTTTACTGTCTTTGTAACATAGAAAATATTATTTCTAGAGAGAGTACACCTGGAAAAATCTCTCATCTCATAGGAAGACTGTTTAATTTTAGTATCTTGATACGTTATCCAACTGGGAGAGGCTACTTTGGGCAAACTCTACGAGCGTAATGAGTTCAGACTCTCAACCAATGAATAGGAAATGTAGCAGCGGTCTTCCACATTAAAGTCAATCCACATTAAAGTCAATAGCAAGTTTACTGAAAAGAGTGAACGTTTGATTCTTTTTGAATTCTGCCAGAAAAGGGCGTCATGCTGAGCTTAAAATTCCCTAAAATGGTATTGTCGGATTGGAAGCCTAATTCGACCTCGAGTCAGCGCCAGCGCCAGCGCAGGGGACATCTGAGGGTCTCTATATTAGCGTTTAACCGGTGATCTAACCCACGGTTAGAACCTCTCTTTTCCACTTTACGTAGAGATTAATATACAGTTAATTGACCCTTCGTCACTACGGTTCGATCGAACAAATCACACCTGTGATACGTGAACCAACAGGTATCGATAAGCAGCACACGCTTCGTAGACAGTCTTTACCAGACATCAAGATACAAGACGGAGTTTTACAGTAATAATCATATATTCAATCTTGAACTTGAGCTTTGAAAAATTCGATGAAGTAGCAATTGCGACTCCCGGGTTTCGAGGCATTGGCTCAAGGGAGGACGTTGAATGAGCTTCTTCGACGACTGCGGTACAGGAAATAATAACATTCAATGGCGCAGTAAGAAACCTGCCCAGCTAGCAGGCGATTGACTTGTATTTCGAAGATGAATCAAGCAGCATTAGGCTCCACACGTAAGTCTGGCAGCACTTCTTCTTTCCCTCGGAAATCAACTTTCAAGCGGCTTTGCAAGGTTCATTTGAACAGAAAGATAAGAAAGTTCTGCATGTTCACGGCTAAACGTAACGACTTGAAATGGTCGAGGAATCTCTTCTGTTGCAAAAGGTTAACCCAGACCCTGGCTTGACCTCTGGAGTAAAATCATTGCAATAAGCGATAAAATTTACTTCACTACCATAGAGCTAATTATATTAGAGATATAGGTATGTGAACGCTCCAGCGAAAGCCAGTACCAGGCATAAATGACAGTAGGAAATTGCAACGGCATGATTGGAAGAGCTCCGAGAATCGTGGAAGTAGCCCACACCTTCGAGATCAAATGAACCTAGTAATTGACAACAAGGCCCACAAGATCGTGACATTGAAGCTGCGGGTTGGTTCTGAGTGTTTGACCGGCACTTGCGAATGTTTTTGACGGTCACGAACATGGGTGCATGGGCATGAGAGATGACGGAGGCATCTCCGAGATCAACTCCGGCAGACTGGACAAGGTCGGACTCGGATGTTGAACAGAAACCCCGAAAATGGAACTGAGCTGCTGTTGGCGAACATTTGTATTGAAATAAATGCAAGGGGTGAACTTAATTCCCAGCCGGAAGCGCGGATACCTTTCCTGAAAGGGAAGTTTGAGTATTACCGAGCAGCTGGTTTGATTGTTGATCGTGACCCTTGCCAAGTTGTGAACTTTATTGTTGGTTCTTTCCCACGCGATGTCACCTGGGTCTTCAGGGTCGTCATATCACCCAGGCTGATAAAGACACCAGTCCGATGGCCTTAAACTCTGTGGTCTCTGTCGGGATTCAACGGTTGCGATTTGCACCGATATGAAATGTTTCACAGGATTATTTCCCCGGCGAACTGAGTTTATGCAATAAGCTTTATGTGATTGGCAGAAGTGAACGCAACTGCCGTTGTGTCAAATGCGACGGTCCGTGTTTGCGCAGATAATACTGACATGCCAGTATAGCTGTCAAAACCTAGATGCTTCCCCCCACCAGTGTCGCAGCAGGATAGAACAGGAAGCCATCTCCGTTCGTCTGAACTCTGTGCAAATCCTGGTTCGGAAGCGAACTCTGCCGTTCTAAATGGGAAAAAAACAAAAAAGGTCCTGGGACGACATGGGCAATTCTCTCGCTAGATTAGGCACAGTTGAGAGATCAGATTGCATGCTGCAGCCAATACTGTTCTGCGCCGCTTCCTGGCAGACCAATGCACGGTCATCGTGCAACCATCCAAGAACCAACACAGAACCGGGTTTTCGGGCCCCTCAATCTACGAGTTCCTCCGACGCCTGGTGTTTGGTTCCGTCGTTGGAAAGATTCGATAGGGACGAAGAGGATCGGGCGGCATGTTAGACTTGAAAAAGCAGGAAATAGGAAACAAGAAAAAAACAGGGCCATTCGTCAATGTCTGACACGCCGTCAACCTACTACTCATGTCTGACAAAACCATAGTCAGCAAGCAGCCAGAACAAAAGAAGCGTGGAGCGGGGTTCCACAGGTAAGCCTGAGCTGAGTAGAAAATTGGCTCAGTGGCCAAGGTCAGCAGCAGCCCGTGCTCGCATGAACCAGTCGCCTTCGCCAACATCAATCTTCTCGCGAAGCCCGAGGGGACTGTGGACTCTGGGCATTGGCGAATCATGTTGGCAGACGCTGCTTTTCAAGATCATGCTAGAAGACTAGAGCCGGCAAGCTGCCTGCGGGACAGATGTCAGAAGCGCATGACATTTGCTCTGTTGGCTTTTATTTGACATGGACATAGAGAGGGAGGGGGGGAAGGGAGGGATCCGGCCCAAGTCCGAGACCATACAAATGCCTGGATTGAGACATCCTTAGCACAATCTCATCATCCACAGTGAGAATTGTCCGATGTGTTCTAAAATTCTAAATAAGTTGGAATGATTCCCGCATTCCAACCCAATCGCTGGAATCTAATGGGCTTATCACGGGCTCCAATCTCGCCGGCCCCCAATATCACCACACGGAAACCAAGTCTCCCGCCGCGTGGCTTTGCCCTAGGGCCGGGAAGTCTACCTACCTACCTCGTCTCTGCCCTGCTGCTCCCTTTGCCTCACAGACCGGCCGGCCGCCAGAACCCTTGTCCCGGCGTGATTGCGACAGGGAACATGGCATCAGCAGATGCTCGAGTAGACAGGGGAGGGACTCCACCACCTTAGGGTCCGCCGTCTCATACGAGGGGGGAATCGAGGAGCTGCTAGCTGAAATCGGGGCACGAGAGAGGGGAAAAAATAAAACCATAGGAACATTCGCGAGCTGAAGCAGAGTCAAAACTCCACAATCGTCATCGCCCGGCGCTCCGGGAAGAGAGAGACGGTTGGTGGGCAGTTGAATTGCCGTCCATGGTCGGCGGTGCATGCGACGGTGCCGCGGTGTGTGTCCGATGGCTTCCGCTAGAACAAGACTAGAAGATGGGAACATGAGTAGCTAGTCTTGCGCCTCTTGATCTTGCAACCGCCACCTGACCCGAGGTTAGTTCTCTTAGATCTGTTCTTATTCATTGTTTTTTCCTGCCTCCTACCTATGTACAACGTTTTTCGTCAGTGCCTAACACGCGTTGTCATTATCCGGATTTTCTGCAGAAACCATGCCATCACACTAATAAATGACAAACGCGGAAAGTATTAGCACTAGCACGCTTTTCTTACTTCTGCGCAAGTTCTGCCTCCACTGGTTCTCCACAAAGTTCAAACCCTTTCAAACAAAGCCCCCCCTTCCCCCCGATCCTTCCAGGTGTACCCGTACCTGTAGAGATACGATGAACCCCAGACGATAGAATAGAAACATTTAATCTATTCACCGAGGAACCCCTACGAACACCACAAAGCCGGGGGGGGGGGGCTGGAGTCAGAAGTGTCGGGTTCTGGTTCTCAGGCCACATTCACCTTGCTGGGTAGCATCGAAAACCTGTAATAAGCCATCTGGTTGTTCCAGGGACAGGTCGATATCCGCCGATGGATTCATAACCCCCCTGGATCAACCTGTGAATAATCCGAGAGAGTCCGGTCAATGGACCGAAGACAGGGCAGAGTGCCGAAGGATTCGGCCGGTTGCCAATATATGAGCAATGGAGATTGCCCACGATCCGCTGCTGTAGCCTGCATGTTAGCGAGTTGGTATCCTCGGAGCTGAGCCAGCCCGCGCGGACAACCCACATACGGAAACAGGACTCAGAGAGACTCACCCAGAACGACTCAGCGAGAAAGCACAAATCCCCATATTTTGTCTCCATTCGAGTCATAATATCGGCGATAAGGCCGAATTCTCGCATCGAGCACCTCTTAGTCTTCTTTTCCCCGTCCCAACTTTGATCGAACAATGGACCGCCAATGGCGTGTGGTCCCTCAACCGGTCCCCATCTGCGACTACTCCACACACAGCGTGCCGGATGTGCCACCAGGATAGGGATAGCACCGGCCAACTGCGACGCCATCTCTGCCCGAACTAACGTCCCAAGGGGTAAAAAGGAACCAGGACACACGCCCCTCCCGAGCGTGTGATGAGCCAGTGGTGATGTGGTACGGCGTACGGATACTGCTAGTGTGCCCATCTCGGGGGGGCGGTTTTCCAGAAAGAAAAGGGTTCCTTCGATGTGGTTTCCAAAGCTGTCACACTAAAACTCTGGCTTTTCTTCGGACGTTTCCTACTCAATGTCCCTTTCCCTTTCGGTTGCAGGATTCGGCATCTCGATTTCTTTGGTGAATTATGTGTCAAAGCTGGATGCACACACCAGACCACTTTGCAAGCTGCAAGCTGGAAGCGGTCCGCGGGAAGATTCAGCTTCGCCTCAGCTGTGCATTGCCGCGCCAGCCTCGGCCAGCCTCTGGGTTCGTACAAGCTTTTGCCGTGCCGTTCGGTGCTTTACCACTGAAAGTCAATGTTTGGTTTCTTCCATCCTTCGTTCATCAGGATTGGGGGCTACCGGACTCCGCAGTGGCATCGCGAGGAGGTATCCAGGCACGGTATCTCAATGCCGATGGGATACCAGCCCCTGCAGACATCTACATAGTACTATTATGTCTGGGCTTCTCCTCTGTGTCCGTATTCGTAGTTTGCACGAAGCACGAGAGCGCCCCTCTCTTCCAGGGCGCAAGTTTGAGGAGATTTTTTTTTTCGTGCTGGGCCTCCCGGGTGCTGATCCTTGCGTTCACGATGCTCCCCGACCCTTGCTCGCCTTGGTTCGGTGACCGTGTCTAGCCCGCCCCCTCCCCCCCTTCCTGGGGTTTCTTTTCCCTCCCTGAAGATATGCATGTACGGAGTGGACCGTGTGGCACAGGCACAGATGACGGGCCTTCCATCCGCATCTTTCATTCAAGTTTGCCATGGGTCGACCTCTCGATCATTCTTCGCTGCAAGTGTCCGGTCCCCTACCCGATACGTGTATTCGTACCTACGGCGCCCCAGACCCGTCGTGGCCTCGGTCCGCTGCCATGCCACATTGACGGGGAGTCTCCTGCATGTCAGTGTATCACCTCCCTCTCCCTCGCCTGCCATATATGGTCGTCGTCCTGGGTGAGACCCTGGTAGATCCCACGAGTCCACGACCTGAGCCGGGAACCAGGGTCCTCGCTGTTCAGTCCGTCGTCCAGCCATGGCCGAGTTTCCCCCCCCCAAAACGTAACCTTCGGTTAGGAGTAGAGTAGCAGAAAACACGCCGTCGTCCGGTTCTCAGCCGCCGCCACCACTGAGACTTGCATAGTGCGCGAGAAACGGCGTGGAAAGGGGCGCGCCGTTTACTAGAACAGCCGTCATACCACCACGAAGTGTAACGGCGACCACTGTGTGTCAAGAGAAAAAAAAGTAGACGGCACGCTACCAGCACACTGGTCTTGTGTGGCGTTGACCAAGTGGAACCGCCGCATGAAAGCTCCCTTCGCTACATCGAGCATCATCTCCGCGCTGGCATGTCGCTACGTAGGAACCACGCAACCCCCAAGTGGCCTCTTCTTTCTTTTCTTGATGATTAAGACAGCAAGGTGTAGAAGGCGTTTCACGACAACCTTAATCTATCCTGTCTTTCCCTTCCTTCCATCCCTCCCATCTCGTGTTGAGAACAACCTTTGACGCCTCCATCACGACGAACGACTTTTCGACTATGACGCTCACGCCATGTTCGAGGTGACAGATATCTAGCGCGTACGACGATCCGGTTTTCTTCCCTGGACTCTTTTCGATAGAGGCGAGGTCCTTAGTCATCTCTCTCATCTGGAACCACTTCGACATGAGGCTCATCTCTCTGTTTGTGTCACTGGCTGCAGTGCTCTCGTGCGCTGCGGCCCAAGGCGATGCCTCTTCAGCTGTAGCATCGCTCCCATCATGCGCAGTATGTGACACGTTGACGACGACAATTGCCGCTCGTACTGCAAATACTGACTCTGTCACAGCAAGCATGTCTTGTGACAGCAATCCTCAGCTCCCCCTGCGCGCCGACGAATCAGACGTGTATCTGCACCAACGCTCCTTTGCAGGTCGAAGTTGAAGCCTGCGTTATGCAGAACTGTACTCTCAGGAATGCACTCAGTTAGTGGCCTTTACCTCTCTTCAGATGTCATCGTGTAATTCCCCCACCCACGAGACCTGTCGTCTAACCCTTGGACCTCTCGCAGCAACCAAGAACATCACTCAGACGTCATGCGGCGCAACCCCGAGGAACCGGACCCCAATGTACAACACCATCTCCATCACCATGGGCTCCCTTTCGGGCGCGTTTGTAATCGTTCGGCTGGTGCACAAAGTGTTTGCGACAATGGGCGATCTCGGCATGGACGACTGGTTTATTCTCGCTACCCTCGGCTCCGGCATCCCGGGAACCGTCATTAACAGCCATGGCTTCGCCACCAACGGCCTCGGCAAGGACGTCTGGACCGTCCCGTTTGACAAGATTAGCAACTTTGGCTACTGGTTTTTCGTCATGGAGCCGATGTACTTTGGCCAGGTGACGCTGCTAAAGATGTCCCTCCTATTCTTCTACATGCGCATCTTTTCGCAGAGCAGTATCAAGAAACTCATCTGGGGCACCATTGGATTCAACGCAGTCTTTGGCCTCACGTTTATCTTTGTCGCCATTTTCCAGTGCGCCCCGATCAGCTTCTACTGGACCAAATGGGACGGGAACCACGACGGGCAATGCCTGGATATCAACGCCATCGCCTGGGCCAATGCCGGTATTAGCATTGTCTTGGATTTTTGGATGCTTGCTTTGCCCTTGTCCCAGATCAAGGGCCTGAACTTGCATTGGAAGAAGAAGATTAGTGTGGCCATGATGTTCTTTGTCGGCACCTTGTACGTATCAACACGCAAACCGCGTCCCCATTTCTTTTTTGAGGCTATTTTCTAACAATGGTTTCTAGCGTCACCGTTGTCAGCATCTTGCGTCTGCAATCTCTAGTTGCATTTGCAAAGTCCCAGAACCCAACCTGGGACCAGTTCGAAGTCGCGACCTGGTCCACCGTCGAAATCAACGTGGGCATCATCTGCGCCTGCATGCCCTCAATACGCGTCATCCTCGTCGGCCTCTTCCCCAAGCTGCTCGGCACGACACGGCGCGGAACATCCGCGGCAGCAAAATACTACATCCAATCGAGCGGCAACGGCCGCAGCCGCAACCGGACGCTAGGCAACGAGGCCAAGATCAGGACCGCCGACCGCGAGTCGGGGCTCTCGGGCAGCCCGGATGGCATCATGTACACCAAGGAGTACACTGTGGATTATCACGACGAGACGAGCTTGGTTCACATGCGGGAACTGGAAGCGGGCAGCTCGAAGACGGGACGAAGCGGCTCGCCGTTTTGAATTTTCTTGCGTCTTTTTTCTTTCTTTCTCCTTTGTTACTAGCGAAATATTGCTCGAGTCTGCGCTTGCGACGAGTCGTATGACCCTTTTTTTTTCTTCTTGTTTTTGGATACCACTATAGCATGAGGGACTACCAGACCGTACCCTCATTGGTAATTGACTTAATCGACTCACCGAAAATACCCCCATTCGGCGGTGATGGCCCGAAAGAGTGTGAATATGTCAACAATATGAGATCGTCGCTTAGCGGGTACTGAGCCATGGACCGCGAATCGCTCGGACCCCTTCTTTGATCGTGTGATTGAGATGCCCCCCGCGTGGGCAGCATCCCAAAAGAAGCACAGCTTCGGGCTTGAAACCTGAGAACGGGAATAGCGGTTTCTTGGCCGGCTTGCTCATCCGGGGCCTCGACCGTCTCTTGCTCCTCGCTTATGTAGTTCCCTCGTCCCCCTAACTTGCATTGTAGGTGGTTGAATCCATCTCGGAGGCCCATCCAAGGTGGTTGCCATTGAACAAGGGGGGGCTGGAAGGGTGATCAAGGGCCCCCAATGCCACCTATTCCCACTCGGAGAGAAACCTCGACATTTGGGCTCCGCAACCCACTCAGCCGGATTGAGTCGAAGTCCTTTTCTAGGGCCACGAGCGAGCGGGCCGGAGAGCGGATGCACTTGTCAGCCTGGTCTTTACCCAGGAAAGTTAAAGCCTCTGTCCGCTCTCGTCTTAGCCTATTTCCTAATATGGCACTCATTGCCTTTGCTATGTTTACGCGATATCTTTGCGATTGTACATGCAGCCGGTTTGGTTACGGTTTCGGGGAACGTTCATTCTCAACAAGTCAACGACCTCTGCTAGCGGGGTGACAAGATAGAGGCGGCGCCCCCCCGGCCGGGCATTAAGAATTTATTCGGAGACCTTCCCGCGTGGCGTGTGGCCTGTCGTATGCTACTGGCCAATTGCAGATTGGAGAAAAGGTGTTTCCCCCCAATGGCAGTTTTGCCCGGATCTGCATTGTCATGTCTCAGTGCATGTGGGTTGCAGCCAGCAGTTGCCGATGTTGCACGCAGTCAACCTGACATGTATGGAACTCCCCTTTGGAAGCTATTGGAACAGGTGGATGGGGGTTTCCGGTGCGGCCTGACCGTTGCAGATCGACGGCAGGGGTAGACAATGGCTTGATCTCTGAGACAACAAGGTGATGGATGTTCTGAATACGTGTAGAGCACACACACACCGCTCGATAACTTGATACATTTTGAGCTATATATGCGACCTGCGCCGAAATTCCGCTTTACGACTTATCATAGCCGTGCCCTCATCCCTGATACCGAGCACTTGCTCACCTGACGTATTTGGAAGAAAAAGACCGAGAATCATCAACATTGGTAATCGAGCCTCTTGTCTTGAAACACCCCTGCTTGTAGAGCTCAAAAGGCACGGGTATGAGTGATTGGAGAATCTAGGATGGGTGGTGGCTTCGAACTAATGAAATGTTTGAAAAACGCAATATTACCTTCCCCCTCTCCTCGAGTCCTTCCTGGTCCTTCTTCGCCGCGTTAGCTGGCCTCCTGTCACTTGCGAATATGTGCTGGACGCACTCAGCAAGATTTTAGTTTGCAGCATTACTATGCCTAGTTTGTCTTTGTAAAGGAGGTATCTTGACTGTTTGATCCACTAGAACCCCATGTTATACCTGCCTGAAGATCAAGCGATGTCAACTGTCTACTCGTGCATTGAATTACACGTACCGAACGCAGCGGTATGAGACGCCGTTGGGGACCACATCATTCACCGGAATCTCATCATCTCCAACGGGCGGATTCCGAGAGTCACCACCTGCGACTTAAGCGATGGGACATTCTTCGGCATCGATGCGACGCTGCGCCCTTGGGGAACATCGGCGCTTTGACCTCGAGTGTCCTAGACTCTGCTAGACCTTGCTTGCGGTATTGAGTGTGAACGATACATGTAAGTAGAAGTAGCTTCATGTTCACTGTATAGATACTGGGTGGTTGTAATTGTCAATCACCAACTTTTTACGAATACAATTTAGGATATCACAATGAGAATTATCATTGGCCGAGTGGGTCTTTGAGGAAAGCTGGTTTGAATTGATGATATCCAAAGACTCACATAGTCGATACTCATTCTTCTTACTGTCTTGTCATAGGCCGGATAAAACTGATGTTGGGGCTTGTAGCAAGCTACGAGTGTGGTCGTACTTAACGAATCCACTATCACCTACTGAAGTTACATCAAAGCTAGAGATTGCTTCCAGCCTATGTACAACCCTTGAGTGCGTATTCAAGACGCTCTCGAGTTTGTTCAGACCTTGAGGTCTTGGTCGAGGCCTTCGTAAAGGCTCCATCTTAGCTTCGTTCTTGTTGATATCGGGAAAATGTCTCCAGCCAAGCTTCAACAACGTGATCTTCTATGGACACACCTGTGGTGTATCGACTGTTTGAATCCTGGGAGGAAAGGACGACCGAAGAACGTTAGTCTTTTCTACCTGATCAACCTGAAAGTGTTTCTTGAGAGCAATATGGTTCAGACAAAAGCCAGAATACTTACAGAAGGGTGTGATAAAAGGTATGCCTCTGCTATGCATTTATTTGTTCGAGTTCTTGTGTGTCTGATTGCTCGGACCGTGAAGGTGGCGGCAAGAGAGGCAGGGATTGAATTATTGGAGTGCTGAACCAGGTGAGAGATTCCTGATCTTCTGTTTAGTGTACATTAGCCCTACGCTTGAAAGAAGGAGAAGAACATGCCGGAAACTGGGCACTGATTCGTCTGGTGTGTTATTATAATCTGGTCTGTAAAGCCTCATATCGTCAAGTGCACACGTACAATCAACACCAACGTAAATCTGCCGCCAAAATGGGAGCTGCTCTTCCGAGCGGGACAAAGCCTGCGCCTATAGGCTATATGTTCGGAAATTGTACAAACGACACAAATTTGCACATATCGGACTCTCTTGAAAAAGTAAACGCAACAAGATCTTCTCAGTCGCTGGTTGTGATACATGACCCGGACGTAATCCGGATCTGCCTTAAGTCCGCGCCGGCCGATGAACAAGCGAGACGACGATGCGGTGTCGCTCACATCTGACCGCTTTCGGAAGTTCGGACTCGGTTCAATCATCCGGACTTAACAAGGTAAGAAATGAAGATATATAACCTCTTTCGTTGAACAAGGCATCTTGCGTACCCGTTACATGAGTCCACTTTGTTCCATTATTTGAGATCCCGCAATCTGGTCAGTATGTCTCAACAACTCACTGTCCCAAAAAGACCTCTCACATGGCTCATCACCGGCTGCTCCTCCGGGTTCGGACTAGCTTTCACAAGACTGGCGCAAAAGCACGGCCACATCGTAATCGCCACCTCACGCAACCCCCAAAAGACACCAGACCTGGCACATGAAGTCCAGAATGGCGGAGGGCGCTGGCTCTCGCTCGATGTCGACGACCTCAATTCGGGAGACCTACTTGCGGACCTCGAGAAAGGCGGCACAGTCATCGATGTGCTGGTCAACAATGCTGGATGGTCCATCCATGGCCCGGCAGAGGGCTTCACGGAGGAAGAGACGAGGGCGCAGATGAATACTGTATTCTTTGGACCTTACCGGCTGATGAGGGCCGTGGCTCCGTTTATGCGAGAGAGGCGCAGCGGCATCATTGTGAATATCAGCTCTGGAGCTGGACTGGAGGGAAGGGAGTCGATGGGGATTTACGCTGCTGCGAAAGCTGCGATGGATGGTGAGCATAATGGCTTATTCACAAAACGTGCGACTAATAAGGGTTGAAAATAGGAGTGAGTAAAGTCCTCGCGAAGGAAATGGCCCCGTTTGGTGTCCGCGTCTTGACAGTTGCGCTTGGGTCCTTCGATACCAATATGGGACCTACAGTAAGGCTGGCGAGTAAGCCCACGCCCTCAGACTACGAGGGTAGTGCCCTCGAGGCAGTTTTCAAGGTAATGGCTGCATCGGCAACGGAGGGCTTTCCCGCGGATGGGGATCATCTGAAGGCGGCGAAGGTGATATATGAAGTTGTTACGGGCACGGGGGTGGGAGAGGGAAAAGAGAACGAGAGGGTCCTTCCGTTGGGAAGAGATATGGCTAAGAGAGTTGATGATGTCGTTGGAGGGTGGCAGAGAACGATGGGGGTCTTTAGGGATGTGTGCAATAGTGTGTACTTGGAGAAGTGAAAACCACACGTGCAGTGTCAGTCAAGTCACATCGAAAGCACTCAAATTCAAGTACTCCCAAGGGAAATCCACGTCAAACCATTTGAGAAAGTCTTTCTCGTTCTTGGTTAATATTTGAGTGAAGAATCTTCTCCCTGAGGCCATTCCTATCTTGATGAACGCATTATTGTGATCCTCACCAGTTATCGATCTCCTCGTGGCGGACAGTCTCCTAGCTATTCTTATCACCACCAAGCACGATGCCCACGCCTTCATCAATATCGCCACATCCAATCCTTTGCACCCCATCCAGCCCTTCTCTCGCAAAAGGAACATAGAGATCTTGCTACGCTCGCGTGACCTTGTCCTCTAGGGGTGCAAAGTAGCGTCAAGCCCGTCCATGAAAAAGATATTAGATACTGGGGCTCTGTTCAGGCCCTAAGGAACAGAAGTAGCTGGCAGGGATAAACTCATCAACGGGAAATTTATAACTTTTATTAACCTAATATCGCTAAGGATAGCTATCCAGGTGTCCGTGCATGGATCCCGAATCGCTGGCAGGCACCCAAGATCTGGAAGCCTAAATCTGCTCAAGCGACCAGTGCCTGGAACTTGCCCTGAATCTGATTGCTCGCAGCAGCTTGGCTCTTCTCTCGCGTCTCACCAATACCGGACCAAGTGCCCATCTCAAATTGCATTCAAAGACGCCAAAGGCTCTGCCAGACCGATCTTAGCCTTGATGTCGGAGTTGACGAGGGGCTCGTCGAGGGGAGTCGCCAGATCCACGTCGGTAGCGCTACTGGCGTCACTTGCAGTAGACCCAAAAGGTCGGTACAGAGCTTCGGCAATATGAGCCTTGGCCAAACCATCAGCTGAAAGAGGAGGAACATTAGTTTACTGGGTCTCAGAAATCAGGACGAATTCATCGACATACCTCCATAAGTGAGCTCGATTGGGACGGTCGAATCAAGACCGCGGGACCTCCTGATGTGAGAGATATAAGCGGCGCTCATGATGTAGGCGGGGATGGCGTGATCCGCTAGGTTGGAGGTGAGCTCGGGCAGAGTCTTTTTGCCGTGAAGGAAGTCTACTGCCTCCCACAGAATTCCACGCTTGACGTTCTCCGAGTAAATGCCGGGCATAGCGGTGTTGTAGCGGCGGTCGAGATCGGCCACAGTGAAGGTCTTCAGAGGAGCTTCGTCTCCGGTAATGTCGTGGTTGCGGAACACGTGGACCTCGAAATGGTTGTCGGTGCCGATCTCGCCGGTGCTGGGCTTGGAACGGTCGTGCTTGTCGTTGGCCTGTCGGGAGTCGATGACGATGGTCTGCAGCGGGCCACTGCGGATCTCGTGCGCCTCATGCTTGACTCTTCCGTTGCCCTTGTACAGGTCAGCGCCAGGCCGCAGCCAGCTGCGGCGAGAGAAGCCGTTGTGCAAGAGGTTGATCTGGGCGATGGCGATGGCGTGACCTCCACGGGAGAAGGTGACTTGGATAGAAGCGTCGATCTCTCCCATGTCTACCATGAGCTTCATCAGCTCCTCGTCGCTGTACTTCTTCCACTTGGCGTACTCTTCCTTTCCAAAGATGTGGTCGTAGTCGTCTTCGTTAAGGGTGGTGACAAAACCGGCAGGGAGAACAAAGCTACTCGAAATCTCCATCTTATCGGGCCTCTTATTGTCCCCCCAGCCGGCTCGCATGAAGTTGTAGATCATATCGAAGAAGTGGTAGCCGCTGTGAGACACCTTGCCGTAGCCGGTACGGTAGGGGTGGTAAGGCTCGTCCACAATCTCTGATGGCATGCGCCATTTTCCATCGCAATGTGTTGAAATGATGTTCGTAACCGGGCATCTAGTCTTCTCCTGGATCTCTTTGATCATGTCGAAGGTGCAGTAGAATCCGGGATGGTACCGACGATGGCTGTTCATCTGGAAAAATGTTGGCTTCTGTCCTTGAGCCTCCTGGCGCTTTCGGAGCTCCTCGTAGGCATCGGCAAGATCCTGATAGTCCTCGGCGATCCCGAAGGCGGCGTCAAAATCGGTAACTGCTCCATTTCTGGTCGAGATAGGCTTGTCCATGATGACGTTCAGCCCTGCAGAAATAGCCCAAAGGCCATATGACTTATGGGCAAGCGGCTCGGTGCTGATGACGGCGCAGGTAACTCCAGTTCGTGCAACAACTTCGTCCAGGCGCTCGGCGATATCGGCAGGCATGGCTCCATCGAAGGCTGGAACCAGAACTAGCTCTGCATCCGGAGCCATCTCCTTGTTGAACAGGAGGTCTTCCACTCTGTCCTTGCATCGCTCGATATCGACGACGACTTTGAGATAGGCCCTGCCTTCTTCGCGGAGAGTCTTGAGATGGGGGATATACGTCCTCTTGGCGTGAGCACCAGCACCGACTAGGAGGAACTTCTCCAGGGAAGGCGCGGGTGCGGCAATCTCGATTGAATTGGCGGTCGTCATCTTGAGGTGGGGTGTGAAATACTACACTTTACGGAAAAGATGGTGCTTCAACTCTCAGGATTTGCTTGATGCAGATGTATCAGGAATGATAGGGATGAATATCAGAACAAACATATCGTTCAACTGAAGACAAAAAGCTTCATTTATCAAAGTTGTATACGGCATAGATCAACTGGGTGTTTGTTTCACCAGCCTCCGATATTCGCAAACCGTAGGAAGGAATTCCGCGACTTCTGCTGAGACGTCTCAGCACCGAAACATAATCATCTGTAGGTCGGGCTACAATAGCAAAACAGAAGATAATTGCTACATGTCATCTTTCGTGCTACTCTGGAAGCTATCTCCTGTCAGCATGAGAGTTGAGCCGCGTGCATGCACCTCTAAAGGGGTACAGCTTCAGTATTTGGCAACAATTGAGGCGTTGTCAAAAGAGACTATCTCTATTGGTTCGTTTGCAGGACTACTTACAGAAACTGTCAGCTGTAGTTCAGGGATGGTAAGCCTTCCTTACATGGAATATCGAGAAAGTAACCAGCTAGCATAAGCAGATCGGTGTTGAACCGAAAGAAATAAATAAGCATGCAGATGTAAGCATGAGGCTTATTCAATTACGTCAAGCAAATGGTTTGAGGACCGAATAAGCTTCTGGTTGATATGTGCCTGCATAAAGTAAGCAAAAGGATGGACAGGGGACGGGTGAGTGGACTGAAAAGTTTACATATGCCTAGCTCAGTCCGAGTAAGCAGCGCTGATCATATTATCTCGCTTAACAGCACTATGATTATGGAAATCTTCGAGATGTATGTAATGAGACTTGCTGAACTTGAATTTGTGTGGGCAGGCCACATAATCACTTACACGGACAGGTGAGATTCACTTGGGAGCGCGGCACCTCTATCTATGCCATAGAACGATGGGACAGTGTCATCCAAGATCAGTATCAAGCCGGCGATCTCATCATTGTGACTTTGACAATAGCTTCTGCAAATATTTCCATCCTGGAAAACTCAATTCCAATGGGTAGAGTTTGGTAGGCGATTCGACGACCAGCTGGAGATTTGCTTAGATATTCTTTGCACTTTGACCATCTATAAATTTTATGAAAGGCGTGAATACTGACGCGGAGCAAATCTATTCTGGAATGAGACGAGAAGTGGAGTCAACCATCAGACCATTGTTGTTTAGTGTTATCAATCTCATGTACGGACACAGTCCAGCTGTTTTCAGCCTATCGGTGCAACCGGATCTTCATTCTCAGCTACAGACTATCTACAACTCATTCACCACGGGAGCTCTTTGTGGTCATAAGTGCGGAAGGCAGCGGCACTTTCCCGGGTCGCTTGATCGATCTGTTAAACAGCGTCAGTTTTAAGCGATGTTACCCAGCCGGACGCACATACCTCGATAAGAATGGAGTTTACCGCCCCAGCAACTTCGACAGGGGCTTCCTTTTTCCCGAATCTGACTGCAGCAGCGTTTCCCATCTCTGTTTGCATCCAGCTTTTCTCCGTCAAGTTTCATTAGTGACTATTTGTCTAAGAAAAATACAAGCTGGCGAAAGGGGGGACATTGGAAACGTCGGCTTACCCTGGGTGCAAAGCAAGGGCAATCAGACGCTCATTCTCGCTTCCGATCCTACGGACCAAAAAGTTCACCGCAGCTTTGGAAGAGCCATATGCTGAGCAGGGCGAAGCATATCGAGGGACCTCGCCCAAACTTCCGGCGATACTTGAGATTACGACAAACTTTGGAGCCGACGATCTCCGCAAAAGACGCCACGTAGCCTGAAAAAGAAGCAGGGGAGCAACAGCGTTCACATTAAAGCAGTCGAGGACGTCTTCGATTGGTGTCTCGGCGGCTGCTGTAGGAATCTTGCTGATGCCGGCGTTGGCGACGACCACGTCGATGGATTCCACCCCATGATCACGGACCAATTTCTCAACGGCGACCAAGGCATCCTTTGGGGAACGACTATCGATCGTGACGGTGATCAACCTGCTTGCAGAGTGAGTGAGAAGGCTTGCCAAATCAGAAGCCTGGTCTGGAGAACGCATTGCTGCGATGACTGTGGTATTGGGCCGTTGAAGTAGCGCCTTGGCGAGGCCGCGGCCCAAGCCTGCTCAGTTGCTGCCTAGTTAGATCAAACGGTCTCAACTGGGGCAACTTGGGAAAGTAAATTTGATGAGGCACGTACCACGACCCGCACCAGTGATCAAGTAGGTTGCGCTTTCAGACATGGCTTGGAAGAACGTCAGAGAATGTTGGTTCATCCGTCCGAGGCTTGGACACTGGGAAGACGATTGTTGAATCACTGTTTAAGTATCTATGTCGAAACAGGCTTCTCGCAAACCGAGGCAAGACGATGGCATGGCAGTTGCGCGTAAGCCAAAGTTCGATAACCGTCAGCAAGCACTTTGCTTCACGATGCGCAGGTAAGCATAGCTGAGGCAATCTGCTGTCTTGTCATTCACGTCTACCCAAGATTTCAGTGTACAGCTTAGACAGCCTCAACAGCACCCCCCTCCCCTCATCTTCCCCCGACCAAAATCTACAGACTACGACTCGCCCTCATACATCCATCCATGCTTTCAGTCACTCTGGAGTCAGAAATCAACCCAATTCAATCTCTTGCCTGCCCAGAAGACCCGCATCTCCACTCTGGTACCTCCCATCTCCGAACTCTAAAGGCGAACCCTGTGTATTGAGTAATTGGATCCGGCGAATGATGGCCGCATCCAACTGCCGCGACGAAGTTGAACCCCGGATGGGCTATGCAGGGCACAATGATGCCAAGTAGACAGGCTCCCTGGTCTTTCACATGCTTGTCGGTCTACCATTTGCTCTTGAGGTTCCTGTCGTGCAGTACTCGAGCAGCGAAAATAATAGCGCCTCCTCCTAGCAGACAGCATCCCTGAGAATGCGCCGTCAGCATTGATTTCTGAGCAGTCACATGTTATGGGAAGACTCACTGCAAAGATAATCAGAGAATGGTACCCAGCTCTCGTCTCGCTCGTAATCAATGCTCCGGCGATTGGACTGCCCGTCAAAAACGCGATGGAGGTGACGGTGCCAAACGCTCCGAGCCTCGCCCCCAAGTTTTCCGCAGGGATGATTTGTCCTGTGGCGGCAGGCATAACCGAGATGAACACGCCAGAAGCAAAGCCATAGAGGCATGCAAAACCGGCGAGAACGCCAGGGGTTGTAGCAGGGAGCCACATGGCCACGCACAAGAGGCCACACAGTAGAATCATGGGGTACAGAAAGTTGAGCCGTCCGATGCGGTCCGCCGCGTGACCGCCACTACCCAAGTCAGCTTGTTGACACTGGATGAATATGGGCGGAGTTGGAGATGATGACTACGTACATAATACGGCCGAAAAGACTCGCTGCGTTGATCAGCGGGAGTAGGTATGGCCGAATCGTTGAGGTCGGATCGAGGGCGACACAAAATGGCTCTGAACAATGTTAGATGGTGACTTATAGTTTGATGGGACCAGAAGAATGTGGAGTCTTGTATGCACTTACCTATGTAGTAGAATGGAACGTAAATGCCCAGGCTTGAAATGACTGCTCCGGCTGAGAGACATGAGTATCGAATGTCTAGGAAGCCTCTGTAATCAAGGAGATCTCTCAGGGATTTCATCTTCCTCTTGGGTCGCTTGGAAGACGAGACAGCTATGGCTATGGCGTAGCAGATGAGCATGATCAAGGCTCCGACACGCAGCGTCCATGCAAATCCAATCCTGGGAATCAGTTTGGAGAACATGATTGGCAGGCAGACTCCTCCAAAACTGCTGCCCGAAGCAACAATTCCCATTGCCAGAGCACGCTTCCGATGGAAGTACTGGCCTGCAACAGTGAGAGCGGGCTGCAATACTCAAGTTAGTACATTCAACATGCTCCACGTCCTCAAAACATGGGAGCGAAGATACGCATGCGCGATGGGGAAACGAATACAGAGCGGGCTACTTACCTGCACGCCGTAAGCAACGGTGAGGCCAAAGAGTAGAGACTGGGCCAGAAACTGCTGCCAAATCGCGTTTGGCTGCGTGAACGATGTCGCAAGCATTGAGCCGGCGCCGCCAATAGCTGCGAACAGGTAGAGCCACTAACATAAAAGTCAGCGTACCAATGAACAAGTGGGACTTGAAGTAGGGCCGCATACTTTGGGGCCATAGAGGTCGAACAGTGCTCCAGCAACGGCGCCCGAAAGATACATCAGGGTGATCTGCAGGGTTCCAATGAAGGAAATGGCGGTGGGCGAGTAATCCTTCAGATACTCTTGCTGATAGAAGGTCTGAAAGAACCCAAAGCTGTTCACGACTCCGAATGATGCGAAGTACACGAGGAAGGAGCCCGCAACGGCAAGCCATGCCTGGGTACCGCCCTCGGGGTAGACTTCATCTGCCGGCTCGGCAGGTGAGGAATCTCCATTTCCGTGTTGGGTCCCGGAGCTGGTTTCCGGGTCGGGGTCGGAAGAGGGGTTGATGAAGCCGCCCTGCTTCTCAGACCGAGACTGACCTGACAGAGTGTTACCTGCCATAGTTCACAACGTGAACCGGCCTGCTAAAAAATAGGTTAGGAGGCAAGTGTGCTTACAGCGAGGATAAGTGAAGACCGTGACGATACGGTCAAGGGCGGTATGTGGTGACTGTGGGCGGTTGAAGTGTCACCAGACCGAGATGAGGAGGTAAAAAGGTGAGGGTTCAATGGCAGAAGAAGATGCACCGAGGCAACTAACAGGCAGCTTACAGTTTATATACCATGTCAGACGCGGGCATGCGTATAGCCCACACATGCATTCACCCATGTCAAGCCCCATACTCTGTGGAGCAGATATGGGGGCCACTAGAGCGGACAGGGACGGCAACATACTTTGTCATCTAAATGGATTAAGGTGCATGTACCGTACAGTTGAGTCAATGAACCGCGTCTTGACACGGATATCCGCGCATTTGACATTTGACATTTCACCGGACTAAGGAACCCCCGTTTTTCATAGGTAATTTTGAAAAGCTAATGTCTTGTCAAAGCCAATCACAGCAAACTATATCTCGGCGGGTATATGTGGAGTATAAACTCAATAAACCCTTGCTTGGTGCACACGCTAACATTTTACACCAGCGGGCCGAGGTCCGGGAGGGACCTCCGGGAGGGGTCCGGCACTGCCACATTCAGTGATTCTCTCCAAAGTAGACCCGAATTGACCACTACTAAGTCACGCTGGAGTGTTGCCCATGTAGCCCGCTGCCGTGCTAGTAGTTTAAGGTTTATGTAATGATCTTTTACACCGCAGATCTCCGTAATTTCCCTACAAAACTTACTTCACCCAGTTTGCAGTATTTTTTCAGCTTCAGCGCCACCAACACAGCATAGCGAGTAGCTCATCGCAACGCTTTCCCACCATGCAGCACGACAGTTTGGCCGTTAAGAGACAGCTTCACAGGTAAAATAGACTACTTTCTAGATAGCTATAAAGCACCTCCTACACAGTGTAACTGTTACGGATGAAGTTAAGTTGATACAAACCTGTAGAGGTGCACATGCCTCTCTCGGCGCCAACAACCCGCCTTGGATCATGAACACCCTGAATACCTATATTTCATCTCTCCATAACTGCAGTACCAGTCTGCAGGAGTCCCCATCTCGAATTCACACCCGCCCTCAGAGACCCTACTTTAACGTTCCACCCTTCCAGTTTAGGAATATCTGACTAGTCTTGCATGCAAATATAACTTCGTATTACGAAATAAGGCCTAGTATCAGTACAGACGAAGACTTCTCCTACATGCACCCTCACGTGACCCTTATTGTCACGCAGTATATAGACTTGGCATTTTCCTTTATTCACTTCAGGTTAATACAAACATCTTTCTACCCAGTTCATATGCGCGATGCTGTGTGCTCTAATTCGTGACACTTGGCTTCAACGCTACTAAATATTTCCAGCTTACTTGGCGCTTTCTTACCGACGTTGCTTTTGTAAGCTCGTGTTGAAAGTGAGCGAGAGTTTCTCAGCTGAAGTAAACTGAAAATGGCTGGCAATGTTGTCAGCGAGAGGAGACGGCAACAGAATAGGGAGGCCCAGCGAACATACAGTAGGTTGCGTCAAGATACCCCGCAGAGAAGCTGGGCCGTGGATAGAACTGATGCTGACAGCCTACAGGGAAAGGCTTACTCAAGAGAATAGAGGATCTCGAGAATTCGCGGAGCGCATCCCCAGCTGGCTCCGGTGGGGGTGGCGCTGCCGAAATCCTAACATCATCTTCAACGAACAATCACAAGACGCGACGGGACCACCAACATCTGGGGCCCTCTGACGATGAAGCTTTCTCATTCCAATCCCCTCCACTGTCCAGAGCGCTTAGTCAAGACCCCATCATCGAATCTTCCCTCATACCTCGGCGTGGGTTTGTAGACCCGCTGTCTGGATACCCGGCTTTTGATGACGATGACAGCACTGGAAACGCAGACACACAGGCGAGGAAGACCCCGATTATTGACAGTTCACACTTTATTTCCCATGCTGATACTGCCAACTCGCAGACAAACATGACATTGTCTTGCTGGTTAAAGAACCAGGAGGCCACTGAGCCCATATTCGGCAATCAGCCCAGCATGGGCGGCGTGGGCGGAACAGTGCTTCACGCGGCCATAGTGCACGGCAACGAGGCCATTGTCAAACTGCTGCTTGAAAAGGGAGGGGACCTGAATGCCCTGACGCAGCAACGCAAGGACACCTTGCACCTGGCCGTAGAGAGTAACCAGATGAATATCGTCCGCCTCGTACTCAAGGCCGGCGCCAATGTGAACAGCGTAGACGGCTGCGGGCACTCGGCTCTCTTCAAGGCCATCTTTGGCGGGAACGAGGACATGGTGCGGCTGCTTTTGGACTTTGGTGCGGATGTCAACCAGTCCATTGCTCACGTCCCTCAGACATCAAGGATAAGCGTCTCGAGTTCTGCATCGGGCTTTGTATGACACCAAAAAAAGAATGTGAATCCATAAGAAAAAGGATTTTCAGAATGTCGTATTGTGCCTAATTGAAGAAAAAAGCAATGTGCTGCGTCTGTCGGGGATGCGAGTCATGTTGATCCATCCTTCTTCCTTGTACCCAAATGTCAGGGTGTGCTGCAAAATAGCACAGGTAATTTTCTGTCTCCATCGCACTGCAAGCAAGACTAGCCGAAAATATCTGCCAAAAGACCATGAAGCTTGGCCACAATAAGATCCACCTCTTTTTCGCTCACAGTATATGCGGGAGCAATGGTGATGTGATCTCCAGATATACCATCAGCCGTTCCAGCTCCCGGGTAGAAATAAACATTCCAAGGCTCAGAGAGACCCGTCTGACTTATCCTGGCAGATAAGGCATCCTTGGCAGGAAAAGGCTCCTTGGTCTTCTTGTCCCTGACGAATTCGACCGCCCACATCAGCCCCCGGCCTCTAATGTCCCCGACGTTGGGATGGCCGCCAAGCGCACTACGTAAAGCCGCCCCCAGACGCTCTCCCATGCGCATAGAGTTCTCCACAAGCCCATCCCTCTTTATGATCCGCTGCACGGCAACACCCGCTGCACATGCTACGGGGTGCGAGCTGAAAGTGTGACCATGGTTCCAGAGGCCGGATCCGCCGTTGATAGCATCGACCACTCTCTGATGAACGAGCATCATCGCAACCGGTGCGTACCCGCCTGCGACACCCTTTGCCACGGTCTGTATGTCGGGAACTACATCTTCTTGTTGCCAGGCGTGGTAGGTTCCTGTTCGGCCTATGCCACAGAAAACTTCGTCAAGGATTAGCAACGCCGAATGCTTCTCACATACGGCCTTGATGGCCTGGAAGTATCCCGGGGGTGCTGTGTGACATCCCAGGGCCTATATCTGTTAGTGAGTTGTCAAAAGAGAGAAGCTGGAGGGGGCGGGGGGCTCACACTGCCGCTGACAGTCTCCGCAACAAAGGCACAGATATTTTCGGCCCCCCGAAGCTCAAACTCGGTGTCAAGCTCACACGCAAGTCTTTTGACGTACTCGCCTGTAGTCTCGCCGTCCATCATACCGCGATAAATGTTAGGCATCGAGACAAAGGATACCATGTCGCTCTTGAGAAGGGGCTCGAATGGCCTACGGAACGCGACTTTACCACTCAACGCAAGTGAGCCCAATGTGGTGCCATGAAAGGCACCCGCGCGAGCTATGAACCCCGACTTGGTGGGTACGCCAAGTTCTGCAAAGTACTTGACTGCAAGTTTCATTGCTGCCTCGACAGCCTCCGAGCCTGAACCGGGTTAGCAAGGTACAGAACTCGCATCAATTTGGATGCAAACGTACCAGAGCTCATGATTGTGCCTTTTGCGAGCTGTCCATTCGTCGTCTCAATCACCGCCTTGGCAAGTTCTTCGGCTGCTCGGTTCGACTGGTTCAAGGCAAAGCAATACGAGACACTCTCCATCTGCTCGACGACAGCCTGGGTGACCTCGGGGTTACCATGTCCGAGACAGGCGACAGCAGGGCCGGCACATGCTTCAAAGATGCGGCGGCCATCTTCGAGCGTCAAGTATGAGCCTTTCCCAGAGGCTACGATTGGCGGCGGTTTTCTGTGAATGTTGGGATGCAGTATGCTGGTTTTGGACTGGTCCATGACTGGCGTCTCCTCCGTCGATGCGACCTTGGGGATGGCCATGATGAAGATGTCACGGGGTGGAGTAGTAGACACGATTCCAGGATTCAAATCAAGCGATACGAGATGGGGGCATAGGATTCGGCTGCAGACTGACCAGACTTGAAATACTTCCTGCACGTACAATAGTAGATAAAACCCAATTGCTTACAATGCAGAATGTTGAGGCATTGACTCTATCCAAACACTAGCGCCGATTTCCGTCTTGAGCTGCTTACTTGTTAGACAAAACCAAACACGCAAGCTTTGATTACCCATCTACCTACTCCTCAGCTAAGCTACATAGTAAGTAATACGTACCTGTCCACTGGACCGGACCGCAGGTCTAAGAACAGCCCTCTTTTCTTTCTTCTTTTTATTACTTTTATTTCTGAACAATTTTTCTTTTGCGAAACACAAATCAAAAGGCACCCTCGTGTTTCCCAGTTATTCATGGTTTGGCAAGCTGAATGTGGCTGCGCCGAGCCAGTTCAGCGCATACCTACTTTGTAGCCTCTTTTTACTATAGGCTATCAATACCAAAGGTTGACTCTATGTACATGAGACTATTCCCTATCTCTGGACCGCCCTTACGGGTACCGCTTTGATCCCAACAACACAATCAACTCAGACATCCTAGTCGTCATTTCGAGACGCCGATTCATTGTCACCGAGTATAGGTAGTTCACAGATTATAGAATAGCATGCCTTTTCAAGTTGTTTCATAAGAATTTGCTACCTCTCGATCACGAGTTCAATAGCAGGCGTTTTAGTGCAAGCACGTGACATCAACACAGCACCATGGGAGGAGAACGCTGGGCGGCGGACGATTGTCCCACCAAGTAGAAGTCACAGAAAGTAGTCAAATGAAAAGAAAATTAATAGCCCTTTCTCTTCCTGACAAAATTTATGATGCTGCGCTTTCTCGACTTTTGTAATCATCGAAAACTAAAGCTTTCTACGCCTAAAGCAAATCTCCTGTTCTTCCCGAGGAGTGATCATCGCCCCCTTGATATCATTTTGAGGTCGCCCTGCCTCCTTATCGACAAGTTCCAAATCAAAGTGATCAACCAGATAGAGAAGGATTAGCTTGATGATTGCACTCCCGAAGAAACGACCCGGGCAGGCCTGGCGCCCAAAGCCAAAGTGCAACTGCTCCGAAGAGTAACCTGTGAACTGGTTTCTATGGGCACTTCCATCGGCCGCACTCATCCGTTTATTGTGGAAACGAAGACCATCAAACTTTTCGGGGGAGGAGTAAACTTCCGGATCCCATGACACCATGGACGAAGGGGAGAGGATATGAGTTCCTTCCGGAAGATGAACACCGTTGGACAAGGTCACGGGTTTCATGACCTGTCTTGAGAACGCAGCTTTTTGTTGTATTAGCTTTGGCATCTCAACACGAAAATTGCCACTTACTCAACGTGGTAGGGTTAACTCTTTGTGACTCTTTCAAGAAGCTGTCAAGTCTTGTCAAGCTGCCGAGAACTGCCGATTCCTTCATATTTGGCTCTAGGCGTTTCCGCGCCTCCTGATTTTCCAGTCGGATGATTTCCTGATACTCTGGCATTGCCGCCAAATCCAGAACCGCATTGGTCAAGGTGACGCCTGAGGCGTGTAGAGAGCCAAACCCAGAAACAAGACACATCTCGGCCACGAAACCGTCGCTCTTTGGTGGCTTGTCCTTTGCTGCATTATCAGTCATCCACTGCAGCAAGTCATTCGGTCTCTCCCACTCCTTTCCAGATGCCCGGGCGACCGCTTCCGCCGTCCGGCGCTGCTTGATGATTGGAATCAATATGTCTCTGGCAGTGGCCTGTCGCTTCCACACATTGCGTATCCCCGGAACCAAACCACTACCGGCAGCCAAGGGGCGCAAGGGCCGAGACCAGGCCTTGAGGGCCCAGCCGCCAGCGAACAGGTCGTCGAGAAAGCCAACCATAGTAGCAAGCCAAGTCTCGTCGCGACTTAGGTCCGGGCCCACAGTCATGCGGGAGACGGCCAGGGCCATGATTTTGATCATGCGTGGCCAAAGAGCTGCCGAGGTCCACTCTAGAAGGTCTTATTGTCAGTTTAATGGACTTTCATGATTTACCAGTGAGCCACTCACCTTCACCATCGGGTAGGTGCAAGGAACAAGCGTACTTGACCTCTTCTCGCATACCAGGGATTAATGCACCTTCATGAGTGTCAGCTATTGTGTATGTTTGTAATTATATTTACGGTGGCTGTAAATGCTCCTTACCAACCTGTCGTGTCAGATCCGTCTGTACCGAATGGAAGAGCAGATGGTCTGCAATTCGTAACCACTCGTAATCGCCAATGATCCGCTGCATCAAGGATCATCAGCCAAGTTTCTGGATTTGAAAAGCATTTATCTTTTGTTCAACCCCTACCGTCTGGCTCGCAGCATGAACATCAACAACGTCCGTTCCCTTGGCATTCAGTTCTTCAACAAACTTGGGTGCCACGATGACCACGAAGCCATCGATTCCCCAAACCTGATAGACCCCATCTCGGAACCGCTCCCAGCCCTGTTGGAGAATGGCCTTGAAGTTATGCACATACTTCTCGGAAGCTGCGGCGTAGTTCTTGTCTTCTCCAAGGTTCAGGACTGGCACACGGACTTTCGGCTCCTTCCAACGGTAAAGGCTGACGAGCGATGGGACGAGTTTATAGAGAGCGATAACAACGATAAAAGAGGCTGCGATAGTGAAACTCTCCGTAAAATTCCCATCGTGTAGATATCTACGGGAGGCGGCAAATAGTTCCGACATTTTGGCGGTAATTGCCGAGACTACAAAGAACAGAAAATGAAGAGGGTTCGGGCAGCAGGCGAAAGTATTTCGTATTTTGAGATAACTCGTACATCAATAAGATTCATACTCACAGAGTGGGAGCCCCGGTATCTCATGGGCTCAACAGGGATCTTTTTTCAGGTGGAGAAGTTGCTTGATGGCGGCTTGAGGACCAAGTAATCAAGTGCGTAAGCAGTCAACTAATCACCGAACAGGCCTTATGTGCTCACTCGAGTCGGCAAAAGCTATGAGCTTGGCCCCCCCGAAAACGTTATTTCGGAGGGAGAAGCCAAAATTCCTTGGGTTGATGCCAAGGACTACTTCAAATATGCTGTCACATAAGGTTAAGCGAGATACGTCCGGAGAAGAGTTGGGAAGGTTACATTTATTAGCTTTGTTATAAGGGATGCAACGAGACAACGGATTGTATTCAAATAGACCATTAATGACGTTGGAATTATCGCAACAACTCGCCATCCTCTTACTTTTCTAGCCATCATGGAGGACATCCTTGATTTGCCTGACCAAATGAAACCCAGAGGAAATCACTTCCAAGTCCTATCTCAAACAAGAGAAGGTGGGTGACAGTCTTGTGCTACTCGCGCAACGTCGATTCATGATCTAATCATAATTAGCCTTATTTGACTTCACTTGGAAAGCATACACAAACCCGATCCGCGGCAATCAATGGCAAACCGTCGACGTTGTCTTTGATGTTATCCCAACAGCACATGCAGCCTTCGACCACACGTGGTTGAGCCAAACCCACCATAATGACTGGCAATTTCCCATCTCACTATCTCCGCTCGCGACGGAATTCCTCTCTGAATGTCTACGTGTCTGTTTGAACAGCAGCCCGGGCAGCGGCTCTCGGGTCGCCAAGCTCATCGTGCCGCTCCTCAAGGGGCAGATCGTTCGCTCCGATATCGTTCCGCTTCGCTTCATCGACTGCGAGTTCGTTGACGCCCGATTGTCTCTGTCAGAGCCTCTAAAGACATTCTCGGGCCGACCCATCCAAGATTCTCAGCTAGACGACCTTGCAAAACTGCTCGGAGACTCTGCGGGTGGTCTCATTTTACAGGGATTGCCGCCCGGGATCGGGTCGCTAGATTGCCGTTCGTTCTCACAGTTTGTCGAGGCCGAGACCGAGAACCGATTGTCCTTCCCATGGATATCGAGTCCAGCAGCCACCAAGACCCTAGTCATTGTTGAGGGCAGTCGTCAGCACCCGAGTGAAGGTGGCACGGGACCCAACATCTACCTAGCCGCAATCGCTCTGGGGATCAAAATGGTCGTTCTCGACGTTCCGGGCCACTGGTTGGAGGGCACCGAATATGAGCACTGGCGAGAAGCTTTCATTCCCATCGAGATGTCCCAGCCTCCTGACGAGGGATTCTCGGACCGAATCGCACAGGCTGTAGCCACTTACGAAGGACAAGTCGACGGCATAATCACCTTTTGCGATTCATTCCAACACCAGGTGGCCCTCGCTGCACAAAAGCTCGGCCTGCCAACCTCCAACCCCGAAGCCCTCAGGACCGCCACCAATAAGTACGCGACCAGCGTCTTCGAAGGCCGGCAGTCCCACCTCGTCTCAAGCACCCAGGAGGTGCTACAGGTCGCGGCTTCCCAGGGGAACTCCCTGTTCCCTTGCATCATCAAGCCTTGCAACGGCTGGAGCTCCGAGGGCGTCTTCCTCATCAACAACAATACCGAGCTCATCGAGGCTGTCGGGCCCCTCGACGCCCTATCCAAGTCCAAGCACGGCAGTAAGTTTGTAATTGAGAGGTACTGTGCCGGCCCGGAGGTGGATGCCAACTTTGTGCTCCTGGACGGTGAGATTCTCTTCTTCGAGGTATGCGACGACTTCCCCAAGAGCGCGGACACGAATGGCTCCAGTTTAGGCGGCGGCGCAAAGACCTTTATCGAGCTCGATAGTGTCTTTCCCTCCAAGCTCCCCGAGTCAGAGATCAACCTGCTTCGGATATGCTTCCACAACACGTTGCTGAGGCTGGGGCTCCGCGACGGCATCATGCATCTCGAAGGACGGGTGGACAACTCGACGGTCGAGTACCGGACCGAGGGAGGCTTGCTCGACCTCCGATCAAGGGCCGTGGACACGCAAAGTCGAGGTGCGGATAAGAGCCCCTCGGCATGGCTTATCGAGGTCAACCCTCGTCCGCCGGGCATGAAGGGTACGCAGGTCATCGAGTCCACGCACGGCGTCGACTACTGGGGGCTGGGCATGCTGATTGCGCTGCGAGACGGGGAGCGCACAAGGGCGCTCTGTCACGCTTTCAAGCATGGTCCCCAGTACACTTGCGTGATGGTCTTCATCCCCGCGGATTATGATCTCTCCTTGGCAGAGGGCCTTTTCGATTCGGGGGACATCTGTGACGAGCTGTTTTGTCGCCGACCTGATTTGGCTAAGAACGTTAGTCGGTACGGATGCTTGGTGAGGAGAGGTCAAAAGGTCACCCACCCAAGCCATGGCGTGAACAGCTTCTTGGCCTATTTCAACGTATTTTCGAGGAAGGGCAGAGAGGATGCGTTGCGGCTTGCTAAGATTGTCAGGGAGGAAGTGCGCTTTTCATTCAAATAGACTCCCCGATTGGAATAACTATCTAAAGCTTCCTGCCGTGGCTCTCTCTTCATAATCATCAAACAGAGTGAAGTTGTCTTGGCGTTCGGGGATGCATAATTGCCTTCGGAGTGTACAATAATACCGTTGTCACCACCAAAATACTTGTGCACCGGATGGCCAACATGAAGCAGACCACGTAAGGAACTCTAGCGTATCCTTAGTTTCCCAAAAGCGTCACCCTCTCTTCTCTCATCGATGCAAATGACCGCGCAATGTGCTTGTTGCATGTATACTTGCGTCTCAGGACGCGTTGGAACGCAATTACAATCTATATTCACAGCTGTCAACTGATCACAACATCGAATATGATTCTCTGCTGCCACTGATGAAGCAGTTTTATAGCACAATCAAGAATCCCGTGCTCCAAATCTCAAATTGATCAAAGAAGTCGTCGATTAACAATCACTATCTGAGACTATCATTGTTGTAAAAGGATATGGATTCCGAACATACTTTAGTCTCTTACATAAAATTCGAAGTCTTCAAGTTTTTGGGCAGCTATTAGGTAAGTAGTCAAGTAAGTGTCTTTCCACCGTAGCATTCGAATGGGGAGGGTCCTGAGCAAAGGGTAATACTTCGCTGCACGTGCTTTCTCATATTTCTCCACGCGACTGAGTCGTCTCAATTGTTCGATGGGAGTATTTGATCCTGCCGTCTCATTTGCTTAAAGAGGAAACAAACTCCATTGAGAAACTAAATCATGGGGATATCTATTACTCATATGAGGGATTCTCAGGTATGATATGTTGAATGCCTAATGAAGCACGTGTAGATGTTACTGCCCAACCAAGATCAATTCTTGCCCTGCGACCTGTATGCATCTTACTGCAAAACGTCATGCCCTAATACCAAGAGCCTCGACTGAGATTTCATCTCACTATTTCATCTCACTAACAGAGCAAGAACAATGTGACAGTACTGCTGCAGCAACACCAAAAACTCGAGTGCCCAATGCAGGCTCATTATTTCAGCGCGTTAATGAGGTCGAGACGCCTCATTCATGAGATGGAAATGATGTAATTCGTGTTCGTGAGGGCCTCTCTTGAGAGCACAAGTACCGTGAGTCGGGATGTGGAGAGCCACCGTGAACATGATTGGCGCTTGATAGCCAAGATAGCCCTGCGTTATTACATGTAAGGTACTTGTTGTACCCAGTGCTGATAAGATCAATCTGATAAATCCGAGGCTCCGACCATCCACATCCCGACTGACTTTCCCCATATGAATGCACCTGCACAAGCCTGCAAAAGTGGTTACACTTGCATAAGCGAGAGGGGGCTCCAGCAGTAGTGCGACCGCGTTGAAGAGAGCCGCCGAAGAACGGACACTGACTCCGTTCACACTTGAATCCCCACCACCCGCACGGCTGATTCTTTTGCATCGTTGAAGGCCAGGAATCGGAGGTCATCACCCCACGATCTCTACCTTGGGGACCGACAAATAGCCTGCTCGCCCGTCATTGTTCTTCCGAGGTCAAGTCTTGGGCACTTTGGAACGGGAGCGAGGCCGGTGTTGCTGATTGTGCAAACTGCTTCCACAATTCCCCTCAAACCCCGCAGTCAACGTTGATCTGGCAAGATGAGTGCAACGGACGGCACATTGGTCGTGGGAGTTGACGTGGGAGGTGGGAGACTCCAAGAACCCCGGGGTTCACTCACATCAGACTGCTCTCCTCTCCCAACTAACCATTCTCACAGGTACCAACACCGACAGCGTGCTCTTGGATGTTTCCAAATCTAGCACAGATGCCGTCGTCGCATCACACAAAGCCCCTACAACGTCCAATGTCACTCTCTCCGTCCAGGCCACCCTGAAAGCCCTGTTGGACAAGTCGGCCGCGGACCCCGCCAACATCACCGCGCTCGCCATCGGCACGACGCACTTCCTCAACGCCATCATCGAGAGAGACGCATCCCGCGTCGAAAAGATTGCCGTCCTCCGCCTGGCATCTCACAACTTTTCCACAGGCACCCCGCCCTTTGCAGACTGGCCCTCGGCCTTGAAGCGCATCATCAACGGTCACGCGGCCATCATCCCCGGCGGCTGCAACATTGACGGCACTCTCATCGGCTCCATTGACGAGGAGTCCGTCCGCGATCAAGCGAGGGAGATCAAGTCCAAGGGGCTCAAGAACGTCGCGGTCATTGGCATCGGATGCAGTACTGACAAGAACTACCACCAGGAGGACGAAGTCCGCAAGATCCTGCTCAGCGAGCTGGGCGACAATGTCAACATTGTTCTCTCCCACAACATTGCCGGACCCGGACTCCTCGCCCGCGAGAATGCGACGATTCTCAACGCTTCGATCCTCAACTTTGCTCAGCGCACCATCAGAGCCTTCATCGGCGCCATGCGCCGCATCGGTCTGCAGTGCCCGCTGTACTTGACCTCCAACGCCGGCCACTTGCTGCCCTTTTCGGAAGCCATGCAGGCTCCCATCAGAATCTTCTCCTCGGGCGCGACGAATTCAATCCGAGGTGCTGCTTTCCTCGCAAGGGACTCGATAGACAAGTCGGGGAGCATCGTTGTGGATATCGGCGGCACTACGTCAGACGTGGGCTACCTGCTGAGCAACGGATATCCCAGATTATCCAAAAGCTACACAGCATTGGCCGGCGTCAAGGTGAATCTGGAGATGCCTTCAGTCGAGAGCATCGGTCTAGGGGGAGGTTCAATCCTCCACAGCGCAGACGACGGTTCCGTGGCCGTTGGGCCTGACAGCGTGGGCCATGATCTCATCACCAAGGCCTTGTGCTTCGGAGGCGACGTCACAACCGCCACGGATGTCGCAGTCGCATCAGGTGCCGAGATTGGCAACACGGCCGTGTCTCTCGCGAGCGAGGTCGTCGAAAAGGGCAAGGCGCGCGTCCGCAAGATGTTGGAGGCCGTCATCGACCGCGCCAAGCTGTCGCCCGAGCCGTGCACAGTCATCCTCGTGGGCGGCGGCTCGATCCTCTGTCCCTCGGAACTCACAGGCGTCAGCAAGGTCGTGGTCCCCGAGCACGCCGGCGTCGCCAACGCCATTGGCGCGTCCATTGCCAAGATTTCCGGATCCGCCGAGACGATTGTCCACGGCTCGGATATCCAGGGCGGAATCGCGGAGGTCAGGGCCCGGGCTATCCGGGACGCCGTTGCCAAGGGCGGAGATGAGAGCACCGTGACTATACTGCACGAGGAGATTGCTGGGGTTCCATACGTGGAGAACCAGACTTCGATCAAGATTGAGGTCGCGCTGCCGGCTGATCACAAACGGGTGTACTCGGAGATGGTGAAGACGGCCGCGCCTGACCAGTTGGTCGACGAGGAGATGTTTGAGGAGACCAAGAAGCATGAGGCCGAGGACGCGGAGGATCATCCAGAGGACGAGGCCGTCGTCCTCAAGAGTTACAAGCCCAAGGTCGACTCCAACGGCCTGTGGACGCTCTCGGAGACGGACCTAAGGTTCTTGTCGATTGGCTGTTACATCCTGGGGTGCGGCGGCGGCGGCTCTCCGTACGCGCCGTACTTGCATTTGAAACAGCTGTTGGCCGAGGGAGAGTCGATGAAGATCATCCGGATCGAGGACCTAAAGGACGACGAGATGATGCCGCCGGTCGCGAGCGTGGGTACGCCGGCGGTGAGTATCGAGCGACCGGGCGGTGACGGGGTGTGGCACGCCATGCAGGAGATGGAGAAGGAGATGAAGACCAAGTTCGAGAGGCTCGTTGCCACGGAGATTGGAGGTGCCAACGGTGTTGCTACGCTCATCTGGGGCAGCTCGCGCTACTACGACATCCCGACCGTGGACGGCGACATGATGGGTAAGTCATTTTCCCGGGACCTAAGAACGAACCAAGGGCTCGTGTCGTGGGCTAACACGTGAGGGGTGGTGGTGCTCCAGGACGTGCGTATCCCCAGTTCGAGATGGTCTCGCAATACATCCACGCCAAATCCGTCAACGAGCTCCTCCCCGTGACCCTCTGCAGCGGCACAGGCCACAACGTTGTCATCCCGGCGACGCAGACGGACGAGACCTCGGCGGGCATCGCCATCCGCGACGCGTGCGTGGCCATGGGCTCCGCCGCTGGCGCCGCGGGACGGCCGATCCCCGGAAAGCTGATGCGCGAGGTCGGGATCCCCAACACGTACTCCCTCGCGTGGCGTCTGGGCCGCGTGGTCGCGCTGGCGCAGCAGGCGGGGACGGTGTCGACGGTCACGAAAGACATTATTGAGGCCGCGGGCGGGCCGGGGAGCGCGCGGGTCTTGTTCCAGGGCAAGATTCGGAGCGTGGAGACTACATTGACGGCGACGGCGCATAGTTTGGGCAAGGTGACTGTTGAGAGGCTTAGCGAGAGCGAGATGGAGACGGAGACGGATCGGATTGGGGAAGGGTTGAAGGAGGTTGTTGTTCCGTTTATGAATGAGAACCTGGGAGTTTTGGGCAAGGGCGAGAGCGGAATCGAAACGGTACGGCATCTTTTTTCCCCTTTTTCTCTTCTCCCTCGTCGAATTTCGCGCGTGGAATACTCATGTGAGTGACTTTCTAGGTTCTTGCTACCGTCCCGGATCTCATCTTTCTACTGGACACGTCTACGGGAGAAGCCATCGGCGTTCAGGAGTACAGGTACGGCCTCAAGGTCGCGGTCATGATCATGGCGGGACACCCGCTTTGGGCCACGGAGCGAGCGCTCGAGATCGCGGGGCCGAGAGTCTTTGGGCTGGATCACGACTATAGCTCGACGCTGCAGTACACGAAGCCCGTCAGCGTCATTGACGAGTTCCGTCACGGGTGCGGCGGCGAGAACTGCACGAATTGCCAGTACAAGTGGTAGGTCAACGTAGCGGGGGCTCAAGCGGCCGTGAGCGGTATACGAAAAAGAAACAAAGAAGACGAATCAAAGTAACATGGCTATGCTCTGGGGTCTAAGTGACGTGGATCGCCCACGAGATGTGTTAGGTACACCGCTCACTGTATTGGTGGCTGGTCGTTCCAGTCGAATTCCGTCACGCCGTCGAGGAATTGCAGTTCTGAGCCGGCAAAAATGTCATTGCCAAGGTTTCCCCAGAGTGCTGCCTCCCCATCGAGCACGTTCATCGGCATCCAGCCTTGTTGCTCGGGACTCCTAAAGCCCGGGACATCCGCCGTCGCCGTGCTTGAGCCCAGGTCGTTCAATGTCGTCGTAGTCGTCGTCGTCGTCGTCGTCGTCGTCGTCACCGGAGGTTCGACGGGAACCGAGAGTGCGGGATCTACTACAACCGCCGTCTCCATGGTATGAGGGTGTCCACAAGCAACCTCTACTGGTATGTTTCCGGGCTGCTGCCCTTCAGCCTCTTCATGTCCACATTGCTGCTTCGTATGGAGCGCGACCTTGACCTTTGCCCTAGCCTCCTCCGCGAGCTTCCACGAAGTAGACATCTCCTCCAGCGCGCTGTCAAACACGGGCAGCAGCGTGTCCTTCATACACTGCGGCATCCCTCCGACTCGAGGCCCGGCGGCGGCGGCACACACCGCTCCTTGGCGTCTCGTGGTCACCAAGACGGCGTTCGTGGCGACGATGGTGGCCCCGACGAAGATGAGGGGCGTGTTGCCAAGCGTGTGCTGGCTCTTGAAGCGCTGCAGGACGTCGGCGATCCCCTGCGCCGAGGACTGGCAGATCCTGAGCGACTTGATGATTGGGTTGCTAACTGTTTCGGGAGTTTCCTCTCCGTTCGCAGTGGAGGGGATGTGTCGGACCGAGGCTAGGAAGGGCAGGTTGAGGCAGATGCGGGCGCTGTGGTAGAACATACTAGCGCCAGAGAAATCTCGTGAGTCAAGTGCTGTTTTCATTCAATACAAGGGGGGAGTGACAGAGGAAGGGAGGGGGTAGAAGATGAATTTCTAGTTCGCTTACTGCAGAATGCACACGCTGGGCTGCAGAATGTCCTTATTGGTGAACCACTTCTTCCATCGCATATTGGTAGGCAGCGCCTCGTGCCACGCGACGAGCCTGGCGTTGAGTTTGTTCAGGGATGCTTCGTTCCACCTCCTAGCAGCCGGGTCTTTCATCTTTTTCGGCGCAAAGGTTTGGGATAGCATGTCGTGGACTATGCGGGCCAACTCGATGTGCTGGTTGAATAACAGCGTCAATTTCGGGCCCGCTGGATCCATGGTTTGGAGAAAGCCAAGGTCGTGGGACAAGAGCCAGTTTTCCCAAATAGGCGGGTCGTGTCTGTTCGCTCTGTCAATAAACCAAGACACGCAGTTCAGGAGTACACGGATCGTTGCATGGCTCTCGGACGTACGATAGAGATTCGCTGATATTGACATCGGCGTCGTTCTCGTACATGAAGGTCGGACGACCCAAGAACAGGCTAAACGATCTGTGATGACAGAGATGTTAGACGAAGCGGCTTTCGGGAACATGCGAGAGTCTCACTTGTCTGACAAGAAGGAACCCCAGTAGATTCGGCGCCGAAACTCATTGTTGAATGGAAACGAGTTGGCCTGGTTTGGCTTCTCTTCTTGTCCCCAGTGAGCAGGATCTCTCTGCAAACCGAGGTCTTGACCCATTCTGAAGGCGATGCCTGATGGTACGTTAGCAGGTCAGAGCACGATCTCAACACTTTGATGTCACCTTGGGAGCAGGGAATAACTCTTACCCGTATATAACCAACCCCTAGACATGTTACCCCTCCCGACTTCATAAAACGCAAGACACAGCCAAGCCTGTACCGAAGTAGGCCTCGAGATGCCCAGCTCATCCGTCGTGAGAATTGTCTGCGCCGTATCCGCGAACCCCGAAGCCCTACTCCGGACTTCCGGATCCTTGGACATGAGCGCTCCCAGGGCCGCACAGGCGTAGATCAAGGGCGGCGAGCAAAAGGTGCCGTCGACGGGGTTGTCTTCGAAATCCTGGATAAAGGCCTCCCTGTCAATGAACATGAAGAGGGGATACTGCCAGTAGAAGAAGAGGCCGATACAGAGGCGCATGGTATAGTTGGTCAGGTTGCCCTTGTCTTCGTGGAAGGGCGACGGTTTAGAGGCTGTGGATGAGCTGGTGGGGTACATTGAGGTGCTGACCTCGTTCTGATAGATGCTTGTTGGTCCATGATAGATCATTGAGCCTGAAGTTCGTTAGCTACAAACTCATGAGCGCCAAGAGGGCGACGATTTGAAGACCAAAAAAGAAGGGTGAAAAAGAAACAAGGGGTCTAGGGCTCAGAAATCACCATCAGTCATCTCCTGGAACGAAGCCTTGGTCATGGCCTCGCTGAGCGCAATCTCATCCGCCAATGGCAGGCCAGAAAAGGAGGGGACATAGTCCTGGACCTCGAGGTCGTCGAGGATCTGGTTGCGCTCGTTGCCGTCGGCGGCCTTGAGGTTGCCCAGCAGGCTCTCGAGCGAGGCGATGCGAGACTCAAGGGCCGCGACGTACTCGCGTGACACGGGCGGCCGCTTGAAGTCGCTCTCGCGGAACTCGCATTTGACCGACGCTGTGGAACAGTTGGTGCACGGAAAGGTGCGGGAGCAGCGGATCGGGGGAGGGGCGCGGGCGGGCGGGGGGGCGGGGGGGGCGGGGGGGGGGGGGGGGGGGGGGCTGTTGCGGCGGTGGTTCGGGCGTGGGGTGGGGGGGGGGGGGGGGGGGGGGGGGGGGGGGGGGGGGGTGGGGTGTGTTTTTTGTTGGGGTTGGGGGGTGGGGGGGGGGGGGGGGGGGGGGGGGGGGGGGGGGGGGGGGGTGAGGGGGGGGGGTTGGGTCACTGGAATCGGTTGGATGACT